CGACTCCACGGCACATAACAACAACAACAACATATAGAATTGTAAAGCCGTTTGAACTGCAAGGTCGGCAGTTCAAGTTCATCAGCGGCTCCTTGGAAACCGTAGACAGGGTTGCTATGGGTCCGAACTGCTCCACGGCACTTAACAACAACAACATATAGAATTACTATGAACTGACTTGATGGTAGTGGGTGTATCTGGGGGGAGTTCCAAACTAGGGGGCTCATTCTCCAGCAGGATACCAAACAGACTATTGTTTGGTATCCTGCTGGAGAAAACAGGAGTTTCATTGGCTAATTTTGGGGAATGTATCACCAGGCCTTTCTTCCTGGCTTTAAGAGTAGAAGGACACATAAGGTCACAGGATATGGAATTTTGGAAAGTAGTGTGTCTGTCCGTGAAAGAGTAAATTCTGTGTTGGGGGAGGTGAGGCTAAGGACCAGCTCAGGCAGGATCAGAACAGCTTTTAGACTTTGTTCATTCATTTGCTCATTCATTCTTTGTTTCATTCAATATATGCTGAGTATTTCCTGCACTTCAGTCACTGTGTGTGGGCTGGGGAAACAGGAGGAACAAAGTAGATAATGAACTTCTACAGTTTAGAATAAGCTCCCAGATGTGAGCTTCCTAGTGACCAAAGCAATAAGGAACTCATGCAGTTACAAAATCCACCCCCGCCACAAGATGCAAATGTATCAGTCACTGTGCAGAAATCTAGGTTTCTTTAGCACTTCTGTATCACTAGAGTTTGCGATTGACTTGACAGGGACGACAGTGTCTGTTAACACAGGTAAAGACACAGAGCAGAGAATAACTTCAAAGATAAACAACAGTACCCATCCGAGATGGCTTCTTCATACCTTCCACTGCATTTTCTTTTCCTTTCCATCTCTACCCACACCTTGGGTTAGTGCGCTGGACCACAAGGTCAGTTTGAATTGCAAGGTTGGCAGTTCAAACCCACCAGTCACTCCTTGGAAACCCTATGTGTCAGAACTAACTCAAGGGCACTTAATAACAACAACAACAACCCACACCTTAAAACCCAGGTGGTAGTACCTCCACAGGGTCAGGTGGTATAGCAAATGTCCGTCCACTCTCTGACCCCCATTTTTGTTCTCTTAGACTGTCTAGAATTGTTGCTGCCTCCGCCGCCCCCAATGGCGTACATCCCTGGTGGGGGTGCCCCAGCAGTGGGGGCGACCCCTGTGGGTTCCCAGTATTGCGTGTGCAAGGTGGAACTGTCGGTGAGCGGTCAAAGCCTGCTGGACCGGGACGTCACCTCCAAGTCCGACCCCTTCTGTGTCCTCTTCATGGAGAATGATGGCCGGTGGATGGAGGTGAGGCCCTCTCGTGTGTGTCTGTTGAAGGAAGTCTGGCTAGTTTACTGGAGAGGGGCTCTCACTGGATCCAGGGACCGCCGGGTCAGGCAAGTAGTTGGAGTGTGGGCAGGGTCAGGTTAGGAAATGGTTGGTCTAGACAAAGAGAGTGAGAATGGTCATACAACGCAAAAGAATATAATCAGTGTCCCTTAGTCGGACATGTAGGAACCATTGAATTTGTGTATGTTTTGCTGTATATATTCTCAACAACAACAAAAGGAACAAAATATAAAGAAAATGGTTAATCTAAAAATTTTTTTAAAGATATTTAAATATTATTTACAAATAATTATACTGTTGTATAAATTATTATAACAAAGACCCTGGGTGGTACAAATGGTTTAACTGTAAGGCTGGTGATTCAGACCTATCCAGAGGTACCTCAGAAGAAAAGCCTGGTGATCTCCTGCTGAGAAGTGAGCCATTGAAGACTCTATGGAGCACAGTTCTACTCTGACACACGTGGGGTTTCTCTGAGTTGAAACTGACTTGACAGCAACTGGGTTTAAAGTTATTATAATAACAGATTTATATTTATAATAAGATTTATGTATTATTTTATATGCTAGTTTGAAGTATCATCATATATCATTAGAGCCTTACATGCCTACTTCCACTTTTAAAATAACTTTTTCCCCCTTATTCCTAAACACACAGTCAGAAAGGAACATTAACAGAGAAGCAGGAAGGACAGATTTTGGTCCTAGATTGGCTCTGACGTGCAGCTCTGCTTTTCCTGGATGTGTGGTCTCAGGCACACAGCTATCCCTCTCTGAGCCTGTCTCTTCACCCTTGAAATGGGGCCTGGGCTGCCTCAAGGGACCTCCCAAGTGGGGCCACTGATGGTGCCATAGCCTATGTCTTCTGAATCTAGCCAGGCCTGGAGGCTGTGGCTGGCAGCGTGGGGAGAGATGCAGCTTGAGGAAGAACATTAAGAGATTCACACTGTTCACATATTCAAGTTTTAAAAATGTCTTTGTTTCCAACCTCATAAGGAATCTATATTCACTGTAGTAAACTTGGAAAATCCAGATAAACCTAACAACAAAAATCAACATGAATGGGAGCCCATCTGTCAGGGAGAACCAGTGTTAGCGGTTTGGTAGTCAGCCTTCCAGATAGTCATATTTTTTTCTGTTGTTGTTTTTATGCACCGTTGAGTCAGTTCTGACTTATAACAACCGTGTATAGGGTTTCTGAGGTTGTGAAAGTACTTGACCAGTTACTCTGGTCATGTGGGTGTGGCACTGTGGGTTCATGTGCTGCACTTCAAAGCTGTTTGAACTTCAAGGTCGGTGGTTCAAGCTCACCAGCTACACCTCGGAAACCCTACACAGGGTCGCTACGGGTCAGAACTGACTCGACAGCACTTAACAGCAACAACAACAAATATCTATGGGAATAGAAAGCCTCATCTTCCTCCCGTGGAGTCTGTTGGTGGATTCAAACCGCTTACCCTGCAGTTATGAGTCCACTATGCCAACAGCATTCCTGATACACATAAGTGTATGGAGTTTCCAAAATAGCCATCTATTTTCAATCGATATTTAAGTGGACCCAGGTGAGGTCCCATGGTACATCCCATGGTTTACGAGTTTCTGCGGATGTTGGTTCCTTCGTGTTGTGATGCTGAGGGGACAGGGCTGGGATTCTTGGCTTGCTTTTCAGAGAGGAAACTGGGACCCAGAGAGGACAAGGGCTTGTCTTTGTCCCCCAGCATATCAGCACTGCAGCCTGTATGGGGATTGGAGACACAGGGTCAGCCAAGGACTTCTAGGGGAACAAGTCAAGGGCACTCCAGGCCCTCTGTCAGGCCTCCATATCCGCCACCTGCTCTCAGGGAGTGATGTCCTCTCCCACTGTACCCCCACATACTCAGGGTACTCCTCAAGTCCTCAGCACCCTTCCTATCTCTGCTCCCACCCAGTCACCCTACTAAAAATAGTCCAGGGTTGCGACCTTTTCTGTGCTTGTGGTTCAAGCCCTTGGAAGTGTACTGGGTGGGAGAAAAAATCAACACAGCCCAGACCCCAAAATAGACTGTGATTGATTGGAGCCATCGGTTCCTGTCCCAGTCCCACCGCTGATCCACAGCTGTCTGAGGCCCCGTTCTTCATCCTCTGTTCCACAGGGGACTGCTGAGCTGCCCAATTCCCAGATTTGACATTCAGGAATCTATGAAATTTACAACATCTGCTCCCAGGGGGGATGACTAACCCCCTGACTCTACTTCCTGCGCACACCCCCACTTACATATAAAATTTACTTTGAAAAAAAAAAAAAGGCCTGCTCACATCTATTCTTTGAAGACACAAATATGGATACTCCTCAGACATAACCAAACATCTTCCAACATTGGTCTTCTGGGTTTGAAGGCTTAGGACCATAGTTTCATGGGACACCTCATTTCATTGGCTTAACATAGTTCACAAAAACCTTGGAGTCCTGGTGTTGTTACTGTGGGTTAATGTGCTGGTCAGTTTGGACCACAAGGTCGGCAGTTCAGGCTCACCAGTCACTCCTCAAAAACGCTATACAGGGTTGCTGCAAGTCGGAACTGACTCGACAGTGCTTGACAACAACAACAAACATCCTAGTGAAGTGAATAGCGTCTGGGGTCTTAAAAGCTAGCGAGAGTCCATCTAAGACACAACTTCAGGTCTCTACTCACAAGGAGCAAAACAATAATAAGGTACCCAAAAGCTCAGGGAAGAAATAAGTCTATACAAACATGGTGTCCGGCTCCTACCACTGACCAATCTGACTGGGATCACAATGGTTGGTTCCAGATAGAACAGGAGGAAAATATGGAGGAGAACTCATTCTTATCTGAAATAAAAAGGCCAACAGGAACAGAGACTAGAGGAGCCCCTGAGCCTATTACCCTGAAACATTCTAACCCTAGAACCAAGTCTATCCCTTGAGATCACCTCTTAGCAAAATAGCACGTAAAATAAAGGATATTACCCATAGATCAATGCTTTGCTTAAAAACTGTCAGTGTGAGACCAAAACCAAGCACCCGTGAGAAGATGGGGCAGGGAGACTAAAATACTGGAAATGGAAGAGACAGAACACAAGGCAGAGAATGTTGGCACGTTGTGAAACATGTAACTAGTGGAGGCCTGCTGTAGCATTGTAGGGTCAGCTCTGGGCTGCGAACCACAAGGTTAGAGATTCTAAGCCCTTAGTCGCTCCTTGGAATCCCTACACAGCATTGCTATGAGTCACAGCTGACTCCTTCAGCAAGAACAGTGCCACTGAACGGGATGTGTCAAATGGTCAAGTAGAAACCTCATTTGCTGTGGAAACTCTCACCAAGAACACAATAATTTTTTTTTTTTTAAAGGCCTGCTATTTAAAAGGCATGCAAACTACAGATATGGTGGTGGTGTGCCATGGAGTCGTTTCTGACCCATAGCGACCCTTTATGGGGTTTCTGAGGATGTAAATCTTTACAGAAGCAGAAAGCCTCATCTTTCTCCTGCAGAACAGCTGGGAGTTTTGAACTGCTGACCTTGAGATTAGTAGCCCGATTCATAACCATTACGCTACCAGAGCTCCTTAAAAGATAGTCAGATCGATTTACTTAATAGAAGTGGCACCTGAGACCCAGATGGAGAAAGGGACTTCTTGCCCTCTGTTACTTACCAGACAGAGACAGAGTATGAAGCCAGGGCTGAAGACTGTGGGTCTGAAGTCAGACCTGGGTTGTGATCTTGGCACTGACCTGTTAGTGGTTTGACTTTGGGAAGAGTTCACTTAACCTCTCCGTGCTTCACTGTCCTTATCTTGACCTTGGGAGTGATGATTGCTTCAGATGCATAGTAACTGGTCATAAGTGCCTGGCACCGAGCAGGTGTTCAGAGAGTTCAATTTCCGCTAGCCTGGAAGGGATGCGGCAAGTCGCCTGACTCTGACTCCCATTTCCCTGCCCTTCTGCCAGTACGACCGAACGGAAACAGCGGTCAACAACCTCAACCCCGCCTTCTCCAAGAAGTTCGTCCTGGACTACCACTTTGAGGAGGTGCAAAAGCTCAAGTTTGCCCTGTTTGACCAGGACAAGTCCAGCACACAGCTGGACGAGCACGATTTCCTGGGTCAGTTCTCCTGCAGCCTGGGCACGGTGAGCGTGGTGGGCACCTTCTGATGGGATGTGTGTGTGTATGTGGACTTCCTGAGCCAGTCCTTCTGCAGGTGTGGTGGGCATCTCCCAACTGGGGGTGGGGGTGGGTATCATAAAGAGTTAGAAGTTAGGCTGCTAACCAGAGCTTCTTTATAGAGATGGAGAAGGAATAAAATAGAAAATGCTTTGAGAGACCCCAGTGGAGATAATGCCTTGGACTTTCAGGGAACTGGTATTAAATGAGAAGGGCCAGGGTTGATGGGTGGGCATACAAGACCAGCTTCTGTATACAAGCAGGATGTGTCCACTAGGATCCTCACCATGTCTCTACAGGACCCTCAAAGGAGAACTGAAAAGATGTTTAAGAAAGGGCAGGGGCAAGTCATTTTTACCAAAACAGATCACCAGGTCTTTCTTCTGGGGAGCGGCTGGGTTCGAACTACCAACCTTCTGGTTACCAACTGAGCACTTAATCATTGTGCCATCAGGGCTCCTAAACTCTGACATTTTCACAAAAGAGGGAGGTGAGGTGGACAGAGACGGATGACTTCAGTGTGTTCCACTGTTCCTTTCCACACTGTTGGCTTGTTGAACCTCTTCAAAATGGAGGGATTGATCTTATCCATCAGGGACCAGGCTCTGAGGATGGTGGGCTGGGGGTGCAGCATGGGGCTGGACTTCTTACAGTTGTCTGTAGAATATGAACCAAGAATCTTCTCTGGGAGCAAAGCAGCTCAGAGGGAGTTGAGCTGCCTGGATTCCACCCCAGCTGGGGCCCTCTGATGAGTATCTTAACCTCTCTGGGCCTTGGTCTCATCAGCTGCATAGTGGGGTTGTCTGCCTCACGGGATGGGGATTGCCCAGAGGAGAGTTTCACCGTCCCCTGGCACAGGGCAGCATGCTGTGAGTCTGCCTGTTGTGGGGTTTACCTCCCTGGTCTCCTTCTTTTCCCTCTCTCCTCCCAGATCGTTTCCAGCAAGAAGATGACAAGGCCTCTGCTGCTGCTGAATGACAAACCTGCAGGGAAGGGCTTGATTACGGTACCAGCCCCCTCCCCATCTCACAACCCTCTTGCCTCTGCTGCTTCCCTCCCCCATCAATGGACTGCTTCCCTGGCAGATAATCACCAGCTTTGTTTGGAGTAAAAAGGCCCAAGTTACAACTTAGCAACAGGTCTCTTAGCAACGGGCTCTGGGCTCCACAAATGAAATATGTTCATGACTGCCAGGCTGGTGGGGGGCTACCAGAAGGCCCCAAAGGTGCTCCAGCATAGGGGTGCTTGGGACCTCTAGAGCCCTCTCAGCGCCCCCTCTCTGACACACCAGCCTCACATCCCTCCCTTGTGATCTTTCCAAAGAGTCCTGCCCAGCAGAGCGCTGCTTGTGACTGCAATGCACAATTCCTGTGATGGGCAGATCCTTCCCAGGCATGAATCCCCTTTGTCTTCACAGATTCCCTGAAGGCAAGGCTCAGGGAGCAAGTGCCCCGGGTGGTTCAGATAGCAAGACTCTCTAGCTGGGTGGGAGTGCCCATTGACAGCTTCAGAGTAGTGTGATCCAGGGGAGCTAGCTTTGAATGAGGAGCATCATACCTATAAGAGTTCGCAGGGAACTCCCCTGCTCTGGAACATCTCAAAGCTCGGTGTCATCTGTAGAATCTACATTCAAGACGATGAAGGGTGTGCCAGTCCCTACCTTACTTCCTGCCTCAGCTGTTTTTACTTCCTTCACGTATGTGTCCCGTGTTCAAAGCACACTGACTTCTGAGCACATCCTGAACAGCCCCCAGACTCGAATCCACTCTGTTCCTGCCATCTGCAGTGTCCTCGCCCAACCACCCTCCACCTCTCAGGCGCCAACACTCTCCATGGAAATGCCTTCACAAGTAGCTCCCCACCTCCAGGAAGCCCACTCTGATGGACCTTGGCCAGCTTGGCCAGCCTAGCTGCACTGTCCCCAAAGAGTTTCCAGAAGTTCCGCTCTTGGCCTCAGTTCCCTCCCCTGTGAACCACCAGTTGCTGTGCGGTTGGCTTGTTTAACGTGTGTGTCAGTAGAACGCACACGCCATGGGATTTTTCCAGTGGCTGATTTTTCAGAAGTTCCTGGGTAGAGAAAACGATTAACATGTTCAACAGCTAACAAAAAGGTTAGAGTTCAAGTCTACCCCGAGGGGCCTAGGAAGAAAGACTGATGGTCTACTTCTGAAAAATCAAAATCACATTCTAGCTGCCTGAGGGAGAGGAAGCCTCTTGCCTAGGGAGGGTCCAGTCCAGTTGTGTGCTGTTAACCCAGGAGCATTCCCTGTCCCTCAGTGGAGAGGGAGGGGAGAAGGAGGCTCAGTGAGGGCAGGTGGCAGTGTGGATGTCACCCAGAGAGCCTGTCACTGACTGGGGTGGGACCAGAAGGCCATTACTGGGAAGACTGGGGTAAGCTCAGGTGGGTCCTCCCCTGCCTTGGGGCTGTGCTTTCTGGGTCTACACCAGATGGGGGGCCAGTCAGGTCTGTCCCCACAACTTCATCTCCATCCATTATCCGATGGCCCTGTCTCTTAAGCCAAATGGGGTCATCTCCTAACTCATCACATACAAAAGGGTTGTTGTTTTTAGCTGCCACTGGCTCAGTTCTGATTCCTAGCGACCCATGTACAACAGACCACTGCCCAGTCCTGCCGCATCCTCACAATCATTACTATGTTTGAACCCATTGTTACAGCCCAAGGTCATTTTTATTGACTTTTAGCAAACCTCGTCACTCCTGATAACTTGTCCAAAATTCATAAGATGAAGTCACAACATCATCCCTTGTAAAGGAGCATTCTAGCTATATTTCTTCCAAAACACATATATTCATTCTTCTGGAAGCCCATGGTACATTCAATATTCTTCACCAACACTGTAATACAAAGGCATCAATTCTTCAATCTCCCTTATTCACTGTCCAGCTTTCACAGGCATATGAAGAGATTGAAAATAACATGATTTGGATTAGGTGCTCCTCAGTCCTCCAAGTGACATCTTTGCTTTTCATTTAACACTTTAAAGAGGTCTTTTGCAACAGGTTTGCCTAATGTAATATGAGGGGGCTTCAAAAGTAGATGGAAAAATTCCATTATCTTTCATTTTTCCATGGACTTTTGAAGTATGTCATTTGATTTCTTGACTGCTGCCTTCATGGGCATCGATTGTGGAACCAAGTAAAATTAAATCCTTTGACAACTTTAATCTTTTCCCCATTTATCCTGATGCAGTAACGTATTGGTCCAGTGGTGAGGACTATCATTTTCTTTATGTTGAGGTGTAATCCATTCTGAAGTCTGTAGTCTTTGATCTTCGTCAGTAAGTGCTTTAAGCCCCATTCACTTTCAGCAAGCAAGCTTCTGGCATCTATATATCCAGAAAGGGATTACCCCAATTTTTCAGACCATGGCAACTGAGGTTTCAGGAAAACAAGACACTTGTCCAAGATTACGTGCACTGCCCCTTTCCTCCTAGCCCTGGAGACTTGACTCAAGACCACTCTTGTCCACCCCTTAGGTGGGAGAGCGGGAGTCTCAGGAGCAGCTCCCAACCCCTCCTGGTCTTCTGGCCTTTACAGATCGCTGCCCAGGAGCTGTCAGACAACCGAGTCATCACACTGAGTCTGGCCGGCAGGAAACTGGACAAGAAGGTAAAGCAGACTGAGGAGCGGGTTCCCCATCAGTGGGCAGTGTTTTCCCCACCCCAGGGTTGTGTGGCCTGGCCCTGGGACCTCCAGCTACTACCTTCATCAATCCCCAGGGACAGCCCCACAGCATGGGCCCCACTGGCCACCCCAAACAAGGACCCCTCACCACTGAGGAAGTAAGCCTCCCATCACTTACACGTATTCAAAACATATGGCTTCCCATATCACTTAGAATAAATGCCAGGGTCCCTGTAAGGCCCTCCTGATGTGCTTCTGCCCCCCATCTCCTGAGTCAGCCTGCTCATTTTTCCTGAAGCCCACCAGGCATCCACCTGCCTCAGGACCTGGGCCCTTGCTGTTCCGTCAGCTAGGGATGCTCGTTCCCAGGAATATTCTCTTGGCAGACCTCTCACCTCCATCAAGCTTTTGCTTGGATTTAACCCCCTCAGCGAGGCCTTTCCTGAAGTGAGCGTGGTGCCAGCTTTTTCATTCCATTGTCCTTTAGTTTTCTCCTTACCACGTATCACTTTCTAACATATATCATTTGCTTAACTTATTTTACTTTCTGTTTATCCCACGTGAATGTAACCTTAAAACAGTCTGTTTTGAGCTTGGATGTTTTTAATGGTACTCACATCCTTTCTCTAGTATGCTGGACATAGAGTTCGTTTTCTGATTCTCACTACAATGAGTTAAAGTTCTGTCCTGCTGGGGGCCTCACCTTGCCTTGGGAATGGTCCCCTTCTTGATGTGTTCCATCTTAGATGCTGAGTTCTGACTCCTACAGGCTCTGGGCTCTCCAGGTTTCTGAGTACAAGCTTTGGTAGCTTCTTTTGGGGGGAGCTGTTTGGCCCCAGGGAAATACAGGCACCCTAGACCTCCGGCTGAGCCCTGTGGAGTCTACCCACAACTCCCACCTAACACCCCTTACCCCACCTGAATGCAGTAGACTTGCTGGCTCCCTCACCTGCCTCTCCTTGTCGCCCCCAGGACCTCTTTGGGAAATCGGACCCATTTTTGGAATTGTATAAGCCAGGGGATGATGGCAAATGGATGCTGGTCCACAGGACTGAGGTGGGTGCACGTGGCCCAGGGATCCAGTCACCCAGGGCCACTCAGTCCCAGCCATGCAGCACACAGGAAACACTAGGATGGCGCCAGAAGGACTTGTTTCCTCCCCACATAGGCCGGCTTACTTGCATATCCAGAAACATGGCCGTAGGTCTCTCTGTCTGGCCACCCCTTACCCCTATTGAGCTAGTCCACCCCTTGGGCCTGAGCCCACCTCTGCCTCACACTGTCCTGCAGGTGATCAAGTACACTCTGGACCCTGTGTGGAAGCCCTTCACAGTGCCACTGGTATCCCTGTGTGATGGGGACATGAAGAAGCCCATCCAGGTGAGGGGGTCTACTCCAGGCTTCCTGGGGTGCCTGTCAACACTCATTCTCAATAAGATTTGGGTGACATGGAAAGAGAGCCTTTCCTGGAATAGGAGACCTGTGTTCATGTTCAGGGTCTGCCTGGCCTCAGCCATCATCTCTAAAACAGGCTAGCTAAGATAATGAATGTGGAACACCTTGGAAATGAATTGATTTTGTTCCTGTGATGAGGCACACTCAGTCCTGAAGGGCAGTGTGTAAGAGAGGGAGGTCAGCACATGGACCCCCAGGCAAGGTGCTGATGTGTAACTTTGGCCAAGTGCTTTCCTCAGAGCCTCAGTGTACCCATCAATAGGATGGATACAACAATTCAACAATTTCTACCTTTCTCCAGGACAGTATAGAGAGTGCTCTGAGCTCTGGCCCACAAGTCCAAGTGGGCTGTAGTCTAAGACAGATGGGAGCCGAGTGTGAGGTTTGAGCCACACCACAGGGTGCAGGCTCCTAATTGGGGTGGCAGAGGTCACAGGAAACTCCCTGCAGAGGGCAGTTCAGGAGCTGCTGGGGTCAGCCCAGGCCACTTAGCAGGCAGATGCTGAGGGGAGAGGGAGGGACCAGCCACCAAGAAGATGTAAGGTTTTCTGGGGGAGTCTCAGGGGCTGGAAGGCAGCTCTGGGTGACCTTGCTGTACCTGCCCTCAGGTCCTGTGTTATGACTATGACAATGATGGAGGCCACGACTTCATCGGCGAGTTCCAGACCTCGGTGTCGCAGATGTGTGAGGCCCGTGATGGTGTCCCGGTGAGCTGGGCAAGCGTTCCATGACCCCACAACCTCAGCAGGGTCCGGGGAAGGGAGACGGGGTTTGCATCCAGCACATTGAGGCTCAGATCCCAGCTCTCTGACTGTGTGGCCTTGAGCAAGACATTCAACCTCTCTGAGCTTAGTTCCCACTTCTGTCAAATGGGTACAGATTAGGATAGGAACTGAGTGAGATGAACCAGGCACATAGTGAGCACTCAGGGACTGTTTATAAAGTTACACCCAAGGGGGTGACCGCTCTGGGACAAGACAAAGATGGGACATGGGGCAGCTTGCCAGGAACCATTTCTGACAATGAATGTCCTGGAGGACTTGCTGTCCCCACATGAAAGCCATGGAGGGAGTCCTAGGGTTCTGGGGGAGGGGTGTCCTAGGGTTCTGGGGGCAGGGGTGTCCAAGCTGAGCTTGTCTTTCTCCTGCCTTGTCCAGCTGGAGTTCGAGTGCATCAACCCCAAGAAGCAGAGGAAAAAAAAGAACTATAAAAACTCGGGCATCATTATCCTACGCTCCTGCAAGGTGGGATGGGTTCAGGGTGGGATCCAGGGTTGGGGTCCCACGGAGGCACCATTGCATAGGGGGTCAACAGAACATTGGGTTTGGAGCCCAATGAGTTCAAATTTGCCATGTCGTGGCTCTGTGACCATCTGAGCTTAACCTCTGTGTCACAGTCTCCTCTTCTGTAGAATGGGGATGGTAGTTGTTGTTGTGAAGTGCTGTTGAGTCAATTCCAACCCATAGCGACCCTGTTATAGGGTTTCCAAGGAGCAGCTGGTGAGTTTGAACCACCGACCTTGCAGTTCAAACAGCTTTGCAGTCTGGCGCATTAACCCACAGAGCCACACCGGGACTCCAGTATGATAGTGAGCTGAAGCATATTGTATTCCTGTGCGGAGAACAGCGAAGATGTGACTTGACCTCCTTCCAGGGGTTCCCCAGGTTGGAGAGGGTCGCTGTTTCCCATGTGAGAAGCTAAAAGTCGGAATCCACTCGATGCCAGTAGATTTGCTTTGGTAGGGTTTGTTTCTGAAACCTCTATCAACTGTATCTTCCTTCCATGGTTTTTGACACCTGCCTTACTTATTATTTTTTGTAATCAGTTACCCCCCTTTTCTCTGTCTCTCTTTTTTTTTTTTTTCACTTAAATACATTTATTTGAACTTTTAGAACTCCATTAAAATTAGAAGGCCAGTATCCTTTGTCAAAAGGAGGCAGAGAACAATGTTTTAGCAGTTTTGTTTATGATGTGTGTGTGTGTTAAGCTTTATCAAGTTGGTTCCGACTCATAGCCACCCTGTTGAGGGTTTCTGAGGCTGTAAATCTTTGTGGAAGCTGAAAGCCTCATCTTTCTCCCACATTGTCAATGATAATAATTATTATTTAAATTATGTTGAAGTACATCTTCTCTGTTCAGAGGGGAGATTAGTAAGGGCAAGAGAGGTATTAAGGACCTAGTGGCTACAAATCGGGACTTTCTCTGGAATGTCGTTTGGTAGATGAAATTGGGTGGCAGTTAAACTCTCAGCAGTTTGAACCTACCAGCTGCTCTGTGGGAGAAGGATGTGTCAATCTGCAGTGTAATTATTTACAATCTTCAGAACCCTATGGGCAGTTCTGCTCTAGTCTATAGTGTCACCATGAGTTGGATTTTGACTTGCCAGCAAAGGGCGTGGCGCTACAGGGTAATGCACTGGACTGCAAAGTCAGGTAGAACTGCAAGGTCGTTGGTTCAAGTTCACCAGCCACTCCTCGGAAACCCTATACAGGGTCGCTATGAATTGGAACCGACTCGACGGCACTTAACAATTACAACAAATTAATGGGTTCGGTTTGGGATTTTGTGGTAACTAATGCTGAGTCCCGAATCCCTTGTTGGAACCCTGGTGTGTGTGTGTTCAAGTTTGTGTGTTTCCCATCTGTTAGGAACCATAGCTCTGAGAACTTTGTTATAGAGATTTGGGTTTTGTTGTAATCAAACCTTTTTTCTTTTCTTTTTTTTTTTTTGCCTCTTTGACCTCACTGAAGGAACCCTGGTGGTACAGTGAGTTAAGCATTGTGCTGCTAATCTCAGGGTCTGCAGTTCAAACCCACCATGGGAGAAAGATGAGGCTGTCTGCACGTGTAAAGATTTACTCTCAGAAACCGTAAAGAGCAGTTCTCCTCTGTCCTGTCAGGTCAGAGTTGGAATTGACTCAACAGTAGTGGCAGTAGGTTGACCCCACTGAGGTATCAGGACACCGAAGAACAACGTCCTTAGATTATTTGTAGAGAATGTGGCCATATCAAGCCCCAACCCCAGATGCAGGGCAGGCACTCACTGACTCACTGGACACTTGATTCCTTCCAGGTAAACCGGAACTACTCCTTCTTGGACTACATCCTGGGAGGATGCCAGCTCATGTTCACCGTAAGACTCTCTCTTCACACCCTGGCTTCCACCCCAGCAAGCATCTTCCCTGAGGGAACTGGTCACTACCACAGCAGGAAGGACTTGGGATAGACTATAGGAAGGACTTCCTTTAGGGCAAGGGATGTTTCTAGCCCCAGAGGAGATGGCATGGGTGTTTGTTCCTGCTGGACGGGCCTGAGTCCGGGCTCAGCTGCTTGTCAGCTCATGGCTGAACAGCCCCGGAGGTTCAGAATTTAAAAAAAAAAAAAAAAAAAATCCAAATTGTTTTCCAGTGCCCACAAGGCCTTCTGTGATCTGGCCTCTGCCTAACCTCATCTGCTACCACCTTTCTCCTTATTCACTCATCTCCAGCCACCTGGGGTTCCTCACTATTTCCCAAACACACCAAGCTTGGTCCCACACTAGGGCTCTGCACTTGCTTTTCCTTCCGCCTGAATGCAGAACCTTCACAAGGCTGTCTTCTTCCTCACTTTCCAGGCTGTGGCACAGATGGCACCTCCTCAGAGAGGCTTTCTCTGATTCTTCCCACCCCTCCAGCCTGGCCAGACAGGCCTCTCAGCCACATTCCCTGGTTTAATATCTTCATGGCATTTGCCACCCTCTGAAATTGTCTTATGTGTTCTTTGTTTGTCCTGGTTTGTCCCACCACTAAACTGTGAGGCAGGGACTTTGAACTTTCTTTCTGCTCTAACCTCAGCGTATTGCATAGTGCCTGGCAAATAATAAGTGCTCAATAAATACTTACCAACCATAGCAAAGGGTGTCTCTGCCTGTCGCCTGGTGTGCACGCCTCACAGATGCCTCTCCTGTTCATCTTGTGTTTGGTTCCTCACACCAAGGGGACCTCAGGTCACACTGCTGGTGGGAACGGGCCCTGGTGGCTCAGTTATGCACTTGGCTGCTCTGAGGGAGAAAGGTGTAGCAGTCTGTTTCTGAAAGATTTCAGCCTTGAATACCCTCTGGGGCAATTCATTGACATTGGAATTGACAGCTTGGTTTTTTTTTGTCTGCAGGTTGGCATAGACTTCACAGCCTCCAATGGGAATCCTCTTGACCCTTCCTCTTTGCATTATATCAACCCCATGGGAACCAATGAGTACCTGTCAGCAATCTGGGCTGTTGGGCAGATCATTCAGGACTATGACAGGTAAGTTTGGGGAGGGGCTCTGAAGGTTTGGAAAGACTGGTTTGTCAAAGCTCAAAGGGACCCAGAGAGCATCAGATTCAAAGAATGGTCAACACTTGGCATAGATGCAGTTATTACCCATTTCTGTACCTGTGGCAGACATTGCTAATCGATTGCTGTACTCTTATCTATAGATTCAACTTGGCGCCTTCTCCAAACAATAACAAGGTAGCCACTAAGCAGTGAGACGGGAGAGAAGATGAAACTCATTAGCTATTACTACAACCTCTCCTCTTCAAAGATCTGAGGAAAGGGAGGTCCGGGCTGAGGATGGAGAGTTTGTTCTCAGTCATACCTGTCAGGGGAACTGGAACCCATACCCTCTGATTCCTGGGCCCAGCACTAAGTGGCCAAACAGCCTCGCTCCTCTGAGAACCTCTAAGGAACAGCCAATATGGGGGAGGCCTGCCCACCATGGGCCCTGTTGGGGATTACAGGTAGATTGGTACTGTGGAGGCACAGCCATGTAGAGAGGACAGTAGGTGTGATCATCAGCAATATGAGCCCAAGGCAAAGCCAAGAGAGCCTCGCAGGAGCCAGAACTCACATGAAGGCTGCAGCATCATTTCACAGATGGGCTTGTTGGAGGTTCCAGGAGAATGGGCATCACAAGCAGGAAGCCAGAACACAGGAAGGGCAGGCTTGGTCATCAGAGACGGGAAGGCTGAGGAACAGCCTCTGACTCCCAGGGGATTCAGGGCTTAAGGGTGATCCCAGGTCACATCAGGAGAGGTATGGTACTTACAGAAAAGGAGGTGGAAGTCTCCCATCTTGGCTGTTGGGTGGAAGGACCTGATTTTGCTGCTCCAGAGGCTGTTGTATGGAGCTGCCCCCTCAGCCCTTGCATTGAGCCTTCTGATGGATGTTCAGACTTAGCAAGACCAAAAAGAACCCTGGATCCCACCAATTATCTCACACCTCAATAAGAGGCACCATCAGTCACCCCAAACAGCCACGTCTTTCTTTCTCTTACACCCCACATCTTTTCTCTCTGAAAATCCTTGCAAAAGATACTTGAATCCAGCCTCTGCTCCCCACCCTGATCGCTAACACCCTGATTTTAGCCACCCTCGCCACCTATCCGGATTATTTTAGTAACCTCCTCACTGGTATCTTTGCCTCTACTCGGGCCTTCAATAGTTTGCTCTTCACACGACAGCCATTGGGATCCTCAATAATATATGCTGAATGAATGAGCAAATGAGATACGGCCTCTGCCCTCAGGAAGTTGTCTCTCGAGGGGGAAGAGAGGGGCAAAAAATCACTGGAGTTCTGTGGCCAGTTTATACATGAAACAGGCAGCGCTATGGGAACGCAGAAGAGAGGCACTGTGCAGTACCAGAGAAATCCACAGAGAGAAGAAGCCATTTGAACTGAGCCTCAGAGGATGAGTAAGAGTTTTCCAAGGGGAACAGAGTCAGGGTGGGCACAACAGAATTGAAAGTGTGAAGGTGCCCTGTGAGTTTGGGGAGCAGCAAGTGGTCTTGAAGCCCAATAATGAAGGACCTTGAATGCCAAGCTGGGTTTCTTGTTCTAGGAACATTTTCCAGCTATAAAATAGGAGATTGAGAGACAGCTAGTATAGCCCATCTTCCATCATGAGTCTGGTTTATTGTTATCCAGGACCTGGGCTGAGAAAGACCTTCTACCCAATGGGCTGCATGCAGGCCCATTGGGTAGAAGTGCTGTGGTTGATTAGCAATGTCTGCCACAGTTGTAGCTAGATACCTGGAGATGGATCAACAGATCATTCTAAAGGAGCTTCCAGAAGTGGTGAGCTTTCTACCCTTTGAAGTATATAGGCAGAGGACCCACCCTGGGTAGGAGGGTGGGAGGGCCCCTCTGCAGGTTTTTCAGGGTGTTTTCTTCTCTTCCCTCTGATTAGTGATAAGATGTTTCCAGCTCTGGGGTTTGGAGCCCAGTTACCTCCAGACTGGAAGGTAAGTGATACAGATTCGGTTCCTAAGACGCTAGGGTTTGGGTGTGGCCTTTCTGAAATCTACTTTGGAAATATCTTGGGCTGGAGGCCCAGTTGCCCTGCCTTCTCTTTGTCTACTCCAAACCCATCTTCCTCCCTCCAGTGTGAACCTCACGCAGGCAGTAGGGCTATAACAAGAGCTGGGACAGTTACAGTCTCTGCGTTCCGTGTTAGAAGGGAAGGGCAGGGAGGGCTGCCAGATTTAGCAAATGAAATATAGGATACCCAGTTAGACTGGAATTTTAGAGAAATAATGGATCATTTTTAGCATCGTTGTTGTTATGAAATGCTGTCAAGTCGGTTCCGACCCATAGCGACCCTGTATAGGGTTTCCAAGGAGTGACTGGTGAGCTTGAACTGCCGACCTCGCAGTTCAAATGGCTTTGCAGTCTGACGCATTAACCCACAGCACCCACCAGGGGCTATAGGATCTAGGGAACAATGCTGGGGGCTCTGGTGAGACAACATGTCCCAAATATTGCATGGGACATATTTATCCTTATCAACTGGGCCTCCTGTATTTATCTGGAAATCCTAAAAACAGGAAGCATTACCAGTGCTGAACTGCAGGCAGCAAGACTCCGGAGGCCAGAGGAGGGACCCAGCCCAGCTTAGGGCATCAGGGAAGGCTTCCTGGAAGAGATGAAGCTAAGCAGAGATGGGAAAGGAAAGTAGGAGTTAGCAGAGTGACTGGAGGGGCAGGGAAGGGGGCAGAGAGAAAAGGCTGGGAGAGAAAGGAAGCAAGACAAGCTGGAGGAACTGAAGGAAATGGGGAGACTGGGCCTCCATTGATAGTGGGTAGGATGGAGAGAGATGCAGTTAGAAGGGGGTGGGGCTGGCTATGTAGGGCCTCAAAGTATAGTGCGGAGCCGCTGCAGGTACTATCAGATTAGCATTTATTGTAAATTGGGTGAAGGTTTACAGAGCACATTTGTTTTCCATTCACCAGTTTGTACATGTTTTGTTTCATGTAATTGTGAAGAATCAGCCATTGAAAACCCTATAGATCCAGGTCTGCCTTGACATACGTGGGGTTGTCTAGAGTTGAAGTTTTTTTAGGGATGAGTGAGGATAGGCTTCTCCTGTAACTCAGGGGCATGGGGAAAGGATGCCCATGGCATGGTTTGGTGGCCCAGAGAGTGACAGGCCCTCAGGGCAGAGGCAGAGAAGCTAGAAGAGCCCCCTGGGGCAGGGAGAAGAGGCAGTGTGGAGAACAGGTTTCAGGAGGCAGGGAGGGTCTAAGGCCCAGAGCTATGAAGGGACTTGCCCAGGGTCATGCTATAACAGGGAAGCCAAGATTCCAACCAGGCAAGTGGACTTTCAAGCTTCTTCTCAGGGTCTTGTACCTCCCTCAGAGTAGCCTGAGGCTCCTGAGTCTGCACGTAGCTCTCACCAGCGCCCCCTCTTGTCTGCCTGGCTGTGCTCTTTGCTGTTTCCAGAGTGAGCCCTCTGTTCTACCCTCTCTGAGGAGGGAGGGCTTCACATGGAGTTTCAGGGGTGGCTTTGGGGCCAGGCTGGGAAAGGTGGGTGTCTCAGCCTTCAGATGGTGTGGAGTAGGGTCTACAGGATCTAGGGAGCAATGCTGGGGCTCTGGGCAGACACAATAATGCCACTCTGGGGGGCAGGGCGGGCTGATGAGGCCAAGCCCAGCGTGAGCCCGTTGCTAAGACACCAGCCAGCTTTCAAAGAACTCAGGCTGAATGAGATATTTTCTTACGCAAAAGCCTCCTTGGAAATGTCACAGGGCAACTCTAGGGAGGCTGGGGCTGTCCAGGCTGGAGCGATGGGTGGTGCCAGAAGGGATGCTGGAAGGAGCATGTGAGGAGCCCAGGCTTGATGCCAACCTCCCTGCCCCAGGGTCTGCCCTGTTGGGCCCCTCACTCTCTGTCTCTCGTGCTCCTCCCTCCGGAACCTGGTCCATGGCCTCCTGTTACCTGTGGCTCCCTCTCCTTGCCTTTCCAACTCCTGTTTCTCAGCTGAGAGCTCACCGCTGTGGGAGAGCTTCCCAGGCCCTCCTCCCGACCCCACGCACTTCCATGGACTTTCTTCCCAGAGCTTTGTGTTCAGTTATTGTCAAACAGGAGAGGCAGGGGCGTCTGACCACTGACTTCACTAGTGGGGAGAAAGAATTACCATCAGTGTCAGACAAGTCTCCACATTCCACCCTTTTTACCAATTCTAACATCAGCCATCCCTCCCATGACATTACTCCTCACCGAACTCACAGACCAAACTCAGGGCTGTTCAGGAGCAGGCCCGTTCTTTGGTTAGGACAGCTTTTTACACCTATGCTAGCCAGTAGGCCTCTTCCTGGCCCTCAGTCCCTCAGTCCCTGTGCTACTCAGGCAAATATTAGCGAACTCTTCAGCTCTACCCCAAAGTGCCTGGAGGCTCCCCACTCTTCCAGGAAGCGTTGGCCCGAAGGAGCTCAGCTCTTGCTCTCTCCATGGATTGGCACACCGACTATAGCTGCCTTGCTCTGTGGCCCAGGAAGCCCACTTTGCCATCTCCTATTTGTCTTTTGGTTTTACTGCCGCTGTATCTCCCCATTTCATGTCATCTGCCTCCTGAGCCCCGGGGGGTTCTCAGTGCAAGAACCCTGAATTCAAAGGGCACACTCTTCTTCTGGTGTGAGGTCCCCCTTTCAGCCTCTGAGATGGCCTGAAGGCTGGGACCCTAATGATGAACTGGAGTTAGTCTGATGCAGGGTGATCCAGGCAGAAACAATGGTTATGCACAGGTCTGGGGCGGGGAAAGCATAGCTTATGACTACTCCCACTTTATAGATATGGAAACTGAGGCTCAGAGAGGACAGTCACTTGGAGAGTCCTTCAGCTCCCCTTATGACCCACTCACTCCACTGTCCCTACCCCAGCCAGGGCCCTAGGAGCCAAGTCTTAAGACTGAAGTAACTGTGAGGCTGGGCTATGGGTTGTCAGAGGTAGCACGGAGTCTTAGCCAGTCTCTAGGGTTCCCTAACCAGCTTGCAGTATTTACTGGTGGTTCTCCTGCATGAAGATGCTGGGCTGCCCTAGGCAACATGGACAGCTTGTCCCCCAAGGTCTGCTCCTAGCTCTGCTTTGACCTAGGTACTCCCAGGTCCTCTCAGAACTTCAGTTTATCTACCTGTGAAATGGAGTTGCTGGAAGAACTCTGGGGTAGATGGGTGACCTCCCAGAGCCCAACCCACCTGACCCCCAAGCTGGGCCCTCCCCCAAGGAAAGATGGGGAAAGTGGGTGGGATGCAAAAGTTGTTGTGGGGCAAGAAAGCAGAATCTTAATCCATATCTATCAGGAAGGGACTTTTCCCCTCAGTCTGTAAACTCTTCTAAAATCTGATTTTTGGGAAAATCAGCCCAAGGGAGGACTGTTTCCCTGGCAACCAGTTCCTCTCTCAGCCCCTTCCATACAAGCCCCCCTCTTAATCTCTATAGAGGCTCATCAAGTCTCCATGGCAACAAGGACCTCTGGCCCCCACACCTGGAGCCCAGACTGGAGAACAGGGGGCCCCTGGGAAGGCACAGGTCCCAAGAGGGTTATCAGGGGACAGGCTCCAGTCACCCAAGACATTACCTTAGCAATGGAGTAAACCCCGTGCTTCAAAACTCTCCCTCCTAGCGACAAGTCAGCACAGGCCGCCAGGGAAGGGTCTTCTCCTCAGCCCACCCATGGCATGCTGGAGGAAGCACCTATGTCTGGGTGGCTTTGGCACATGACTTCTCCTCTTCAGGATTTAGTTTGTTCTTTTGTAAAATGGGTTCATTGGACTTGACTCCCAGCACCCCACTGAAATGTCTCAGAGCTAAAGGGTCTGAATGGGATCGTTTGTGCCTGTGCTCTTCCCCGGCTGCTGAGGTCCTCTGGACATGCCTTCACCCTCCACTTTTAAGAGCCTTGGGGCTGTGCATTCTGGCCTCGGTCCCAGTGAGACGATGGGAAAATCCTAGTCCATCCTGGGTCTCAGTTTCCTCAGCTGTGAGATGGGGTGATGGCAGGCCCTCCTCCATTGGGTTGCTGTCAGAAGATGACTGTAAAGCCCTGAGCGTGGGTGTAGCATGCAGTAGGGAAGCAGCCTAGACGGGGGGGGGCTTCATCTGTGAGATGGCAGTGCTCCCCATCTAAATCCCCCCAGCTGAGTCCTCCATCTGGGTCCCCCAATCTGAGTCCCCATCTGAGTTACCCCATCGGAGTCCCTCTATTTGAGTCCCCACATCTGAGTCTCTCGATCCGAGTCCCCATCTGGGCCCCCCATCTGAATCCCCCTATCTGAGTCCTCCCACCTAAGTCCCCCCAACTGAGTTCTCCATCTGGGTGCCCTGTCTGAATCCCCCTCCCCTCTGAGTCCCCTATCTGGGTCCCCCATCTGAGTAGCCCCACCCGAGTTCTCTAGCCTCTCTGAGGCCCAGGATTCCGCAGCCACCACAGCCCTAACACAGCCCTGAATGGGTTGGCTGATGGTCCCACTGCGTTTCTGGGGTCAAGCAAACAGCATCTACTGACTGCCATTGTGTCAAGATGTCTGGAATCCACTCTGACTGGGGAGCTGGCACAGGAGGCAGAGAAACAGGGCCAAGCCCTGTCCCTGCCTGATCCCCTGGCTGAGCTCTGGGTGAGGTGTCCCTGAGCCCCAGTGAGGCTAGCTGGCATGAGGTGGGCTCTCTCCCCAGCATGTCTGCCTGTGATTACATAGGCCTTGGAGGCCCAAAAAAGGGGACCTCTGATGGTGGAATTGACAGCAGGGCCATTTCAAGGACTCTGAACCCACCACCCCGAGACACCTCTGTCCCCTCACGATGACAGAGAATTCTAAACTGGACAGGGAGGCATAGGCAGGCCTGGTTTCCCCAGGAGAGACAGGTGATGTGGGAAATTACTGTTTTCGGGAGGGTGGTTGGCCTCTCTTGAGCATTGGACCCACAGTGGAGAAGAAGCAGATGTTGGGGGGAAAGAGCCAGGTGCCCTCAGAAGGAGAACTGGTCTGGATAGTAAGTGAGGACCTAGGCCCAGGTTTGGGGGCAGGAGGCTGCCAGCTCAGCATTTTCTCTGCATTCCAGGTCTCCCATGAGTTTGCCATCAACTTCAACCCCACCAACCCCTTTTGCTCAGGTGAGTGCCTAGCCCACCTGCATCTTTCCTAGGGTCACACCTGGCCATTTCCCTGTCAGGGTCGGGAACAGTATGATCCTGAGACAAGGAAGTACATGTTTCTGTCCCTTTGTCCCCTCCCTTCACCTGGAGCTTGGAGCCCGAGCGTCCTGGGTCCAAGGCCCTTTGCTGGCAGGGCAGGTTACGCTCCTCTCTGAGCCCTGGCCTCCTCACCTGCCTATCTCCTTCCCCACTACCTGTAGGAGGGGGTACAACTCTCCACACCCTGCTACCCTCCTTCCACAGAGCCTCCCTACTCCTTGTTTATCAGGAAGTACTGAGTATGTCTGGAGTTAGGAATTAGTAATGGAGTCTGAGTCACCTGGGAACAATTCAGAAACTAATGGAATAAGGGGTGGGATCCAGGTAGGTAAGGAGGAGGGTGACCTCCACCATCATGAGACCTTGGACAGGCCCACAACCCCACTCTGGGCCTCATTTTTGCCTTTTCAGAATAGTCTAGGATTTAGCTTGGGGGGAGACTCTGCCTCTTTGGGATCCCCAAAATTACGGCAACTTTGTGCTCAGAAGGGAAATGGATCAAGTTTCCAACCAGAGGGTGATGTTGTGAAACCCTGGGCATCTGTCAATGGGAGATGCGGGGTCTGGGCTCCTGCTGGGGGGAGCTGTCTGGTTTGGGGCAGGGTTTTAGAGACAATTCAGGATGGGTGACTTTATCCTTGTGGCATGATCACAAGGCAGTGAGGGATATATATTTTTGAGGTTAAAATGGCGGCACTTTATAGAGAGCAGGATGCTGTCCCTCAATCCCCCAGTCACCCTGACAAGAAGTGTCCCGGGTGGTTGACCAAGTGGCTGGCTCCCTGTGCTCCCAGAGCATCACTGTCAGAGCCACTTCTCTGTGAAGGACCTGCTGGATCTCCCTCTTGCCAACCACCCAAGAGCATCGGGAAACCCTGGCTCAGAGCATGGAAAGAACTCAACCCAGATCCCCAGCTAAGAGGTGGCAAAGTCAGAATTGCAACTTGGGGCTGGGTGACTGGAAATTCAGAGTTGTTTGCTTCATACTAATCTGATTCAGCCCTCTGGAAGCTGGCTGTAAGCAGGAAATGGATGCTTTATCAGCAAGTGGGAGGAGATGGGGTACAATGACTTCTTCTGGGCCATGGGTCCGGGTCGGGGGCACTGGGCTGATGCTGACTTTGCTTCCCCGAGACAGGTGTGGACGGCATCGCCCAGGCATACTCGGCTTGCTTACCCCACATCCGCTTCTATGGCCCTACCAATTTCTCCCCCATTGTCAATCACGTGGCCCGGTTTGCGGCTCAGGCCACACAGCAGCAGACGGCCACGGTGAGTAGAGTGCATGAGGAGGTTACAAAGGTGGGCCCTGCCTGGTTGTCTGGGGACTATAGACCAGCTCGACTCTCTGGAGTCAATAAAAATACTGAGAAAGATATAGCAATTCTGTTTAAGCTCAGCAGTAGATAGGTCTGTGACCAATGGGACATGCCTCCTCAGGGTCAAGAGTACTTTCCACTCCTGAGAGACAGATGAAAACCAGGAGAGGTGACCTCTGCAGCCCTAAAGTTGACCCTCTGAGCCATCGAGTTCCAGTCAGTGCCGCCCAGCTGGGGGGCTGCAGAACTGTCAGACCCTGGCCCTGCACTCAGTAGTGAGGGCGGAGCTTCACTCAGACCAGGATGAATGGGGTACCTCCCTGACACCAAGTCGGCTCCCTGGCACCTGGGCTATATGGCCAATGGCCATTCTGGGTGTCTGCATCCCTGGTCCTTACCCTTCTGCTCCAGGCTGACTCCACAGGCCCCTTGCCCACCTCCTCGGCCATCTCTCCTGACCCATCCTGATCTCACTCTGCAGAGCAGGCCTTCTCCCCCAGCCCAAAGGGCAGTGACTACCTCGCCACGTTCACTGACATTCCCTTTCATTCTCCTCACTCTGGACGCCAGGCCAGTCAGGAAACCAGGAGCTGAGTGTCTGCTATACCCCTTGCCCTAGTCCCACTGCACAATCTCTGGTTGTGGCTGAGGACCCCAGCACCCAGCCCGAGGGGAGTGAGCTATGCTGAACTTGGACTGAGGCAGTTGGGTCCAATTCCCACCTGGCCACTGCTCGCTGGGAGCCCCAAGCCCCTGCCTTCCACCTCAGCTGAAGGGAAAAGCGTGAAAAACGGAGTCCTCCCAGATCGCTCTTTTCAGCTGTCTCCAGTTACCCGTCCATGTCCACCACTGGGCCTTACTGCTTCCCTCCGGCACAATCCATTCTCCCCTAAGAGTCCTTTTGACAGCAAGTATCAGATCCCAGGACCCCCCTATTGAAAACCTTCCACATTTAGACCAAGTCCTCCAAGGCCCCACTCCTTCCTTCACTTAGAACAACCCCGCCACCCTGACCTCCTTCCTGTCTCTCAAACACCACCAGCTTATTCCTGCTGCCAGGCCTTTGCCCTTGCTGTCCCCACTGCCTGAAACTTCATCCCAGACTCTGTGTTTATAGCTAGCTTTCCCAGAGTGACGAGCATTTCCTTGACTGCTCATCTGAAGTAGATTGCCCTCCGATTTCCATTGTGGCTCTGACATGGGGTTGGGCGAGGGGAATGTCTTGTTCACAGACTGCATGTTTCCATTGTCTCTTGTGCCCCCTTCCTATCCAGACATTCAGCCCTACAGCTGATTCAACTGATGCCTGTGTTCACCAATCTTATCTCTGTGTCTCGAAAAAGATGGTGGATGGGTGGATTCAAGGTGGTCCATGCGATGCTTAGGAGTTGTGAGGAGGTGACTCAGTTGGGGGTCACTAGAGAAGAGAAGGTTATGAGAGAGGAAGACACACACACACACAAATGAAGAGCCAAGGACCAGCCAGGAGAGGGGCAGGGCACGTTCTGATTAGGAGGCAGTGGAGGCACAGGTTGGGAATGGGAGTGGGGTCAAGGTACCTCACTGTATGATGAGCCAATCACTTAATTGCTGGGACCTCTTGGCTTCCTCATCTACACAGTGGGAACACTACTTTGTGCAAGTGGTGTTAAGATTAAATGAGAGAACACAGCAGCCGGCACCCAGAGACCTGAAGGGTGAGAAATGACAGGCTGGGTCAGTTCTGGAAGAGAAAACAGCAGACACAGACCCTGAGGTGGGGGTGCCCAGGACGAGGGCAGTGGGGTGGAGGGAGGAGGTGCTGGTCCTCACAGTAGACCTGGCCCAGGCGTTGAATCCCATCCCTGTGGATAAAATGGGAGCTGTAAAAACTCTCTGGGGCTCTAGGGATGGGGAGAGGCCTGGGAAAGACTTTTTTCAATTTAATTCCTGGGGTGTGGCAAGAGGCTGAGAGAGGCAATTCTTCAACTGGAACACCCACTTGGATGCCACTGCCCCGCCCAGTCTATTATCTGCCTGAGGTCAGCTTTCAAAGGAATGGAAAAAAGACCGGCATTTTTGTTTTAGAGGGAAAAACACAGGGTGGGTGAGAAGAGATGGGAGGAAGGGGGAACAGAAACAAAACCCAACTTCTGGCCAAGCCTGAGCTTTTCATATAGCTACATCTGCTGGGTTGGAAAAGAAGAATCAGACTTGGGCAGAAGATAGGGGTGTCCAGAAGAGAGGTGGACCCCAGAACTGGAGCAGCGTGTGAGCCCGGGAAAGGCCAGGAAGAGTCTCTGGGATGTGGGGAACAGCTGTTACAGGTCCTCAGAGAGAAGAAACTGGCTCTTTCTCTGGAATTTGAGGGATGCTGAGTGTTCCCTCCCTTCCCCCCCCCCCCCCCCCCCCCCCCCCCCCAGCCACTTTGTAGTTCTCCCAGCCTGGGTGAGATGGCCTCTTCCCAGCTGTTACCCACCCCAAATGCATGACCTCAGCTTCAGGGATGAGGCCAGGGGGTCTCTATCAGCAGCCCCTGCTCTGATGTCCAGGAACAGATACAACCATTTCTCTGCCTCCAACCTTTGCACTGTCTCTTCTCCCAGGACTCCCAAAGGTGGATGAAATGGAGTTGCCTGGTGGCTCAGCCACAAGCTCTAAGATCTCATAAACCCAGTTCAAATCCCAGCTCTCCCACTTCCTGGTCATGTGACCTGAAGCAGCTCATTTAAGCTCTCTGAGCCTCAGTTTCCTTACCCATACAATGGGAATGATGGAAACAGTGCCTGCCTTCTAGAAGCATTGTGAAGATTCAGCCACTCAGGCATGTAAACTGCTCTGCACAGTGTCTGGCACACAATAACCATTCAACAGGCATTGGCTTCAGATTCTGGAGATGCCTCTTGGGCCGGCGTTTGGTGGTGCGAAGAACATTTAGGCCTAAAACAAATGGGAATAATGTGTGGGTTATCTTATGTATTTGTTCAGCTGCTCCTTGGGGACTAGGTATGGCTTCATCTTCATTGTCCCCAGACACAGGTGTGTATACAGGCACAGCCATAGTGCAAGAAATGGCAAGTGTGGAAAACAACTGTAGGCACACCTGCCCTTTCCTGTTCATTCACTCAATCCCAGTCCAAATGCTCTTCGGCACTGGGAAGACTCTGATGAAGAAAATTCAAGCTCTGCCTTCCACAGCTGAGTCTAGTGGGAGCCAGACTAGCCAGCAGCAGCTGTAATATACAGTGATTACATCTATGAAGATGGGAGTCTGCGCTTGTAAAGGAGGGTACCCAGCTCAGCCTTGGTAGTGCAGTGATTAAGTGCTTGGCTGTTAACCGAAAGGTTGGCCGTTTGAATCCACTCAGCAGCTCCCAGTCATAAAGATTACAGCCTGGAAAGCCCCATGGTGTGATCCTGCCCTGTACATGGGGTGACACATAGGGTGTCACATTATGAGTGAATCCACTCGATGGTAGCTAGCAACAACAACCTACATGGAGGGACAGCAAGAGCTTCTTGGAAAAGCAACATGGAAGCTAATACTTGAAGGGTGCTAAAGGGTTAGCCTCACAAAGGGTGGGGAGCAGGTCTGGCAGTACGGTGTGGGGGAGCAATTGAAGCAAGAGTGTGACCGTTCCCACTCACAGCCACCCTGTGGGACAGAGCACAACTGCTCCACAGAATCCCCAAGGCTGCCATCTCTATGGAGCAGACTGCCTCATCGTTCTTCTGCAGCCAAGCGCTTAACCAGAGCACTACCAGGGCTCCGAGTGGACGTAGACAGGATTCTACAGGGCCATGGGAGCCATTGAGGAGTCTGGGTTTTCTCCTGTGGGGAGAGAGAGTGGGGAGCCACAGGAGAGCATTAAACAGACAATGCCTGGTTCAAATGGGCCCCAACATTCCTTCTGTCCATGGCCCATTCCTGACTGGCCACCTGAGAGGCTGGTGTCCCAGTGGATGGGAGCTGGGGAAGCAGCAACACCCTGGGAATCCCCCTCCCCCAACTTCTCAGAAACCAGCTGAGGGTGAGCGCCGATGCCCCAGGCTGCCTGGAACTGTGCTGAAAAGTCCATTTCTTATCACTCCAATCACATTCAATACATTAGTGAAAGTGGACATTTAAAGCCCTAAAAACTCAAGAACCTCCAGACGAAGGCAAGGGTACTCCATCTTTGAACATGTGAGTTTGGGTGGGGACCCAATCTGACAGTGATTAACCTGGGTCTCTGAAGCAGTGCCAGGATTCCAGGCGCTGTGATGGACCACCTGAGGAGTGTGTAGAACATGGGGTGAGGGGGTGCTCTGAGAGTTGATCACTGGTAGGGGAAGCTGAGTTCAGGGCTCGGGACAGCTACACTCGCCTGGGAGGGAGGATGGATGCTAAGGCGGATCTTGGCACTGTGGCTGGGAAGGGTATGCTGGGCAAAAGGAATAGAATCAGGAGCAACACGGCAGTGTGGTAGCCTGGGGTAGAGCAGACCAGGACTGTGTAAACTGAGTCAGAAGCACCTCTCCAGCCCTCCTACCTAGTGCCCCCTTCACTCGCCCCTTCCACCGCCTTCCCTCTGGTCTGTCTTGGGTGCGAGGGCAGATCCATGGGCTGTAATGGATCTTCAAACCTCCTGGACAGCCCCACTTCCCTGGGGAGGAGGCTGCGAGGATAGAGGCAGCCTCCAGAAAGTTCCCTCATCTAGACTGGTGACTGGTGGGTCCTGTGGGGAGGAGGGTGGAGGGCCACATGTCTGAGCTCAAGGGGGCCCACTCCCTGAGTAGTGGCTCACATGAGACCAAGGCCCAGCTTTCTTTCCTTCCCTTCACTGCCAGCTCTCTCAGTACCTCCCGCCCAGCCTAGGTGCCCAGAAATACTGCCCTGGACTCCTTCCGGTGAGGTGGGAGGTTGGTAGGAGTAGCTAGAGGGTCACTTAGGGGGTGCTAGGCAGATGGCAGGACATTATGGGGGAACAAGGATGTGGATGAGTTGAGAAGCTCTCCTCACCTCAGGGATGGGGGGCTGGCAGTAGCAGCCCTCCACTGTGGGAATTCAGGCTGCCATCACCATGGCAACAGGTATCCTCAGCCAAAGGATTGGCCTCTTAAAGACACAGAGCAGGGGCTGGACCACTGTTGCCTGGAGCTGAGGGTTAGGATGGCAGGAACCCTGCCTCCACATGGCCCACTGGCTCCTTCCCTCCAGTTTGTGCTTGGGGTACAGATAAGAGAGGAAGGCACCCTAGCAGCCCGTCTCTCAGGGAGCAAATGGCTATGCTTGGTGAGAAGGTCCCCAAGTGCTGACCTGGGGTCTGGCTGAGTCCTAGCCTTCTAAGCTTCATGACTTTAGACTCCTCTGAACCCCTTTTCTCTTCTGAGAATCACGAAGGTCACACTCAAAGACAAAAACCCCAAATAGAAAATATTAGAACCACCAATAAACATATCAAAGTTTATTTTATGGATGGGAAAAACGAAGTTCCCCAAAAAGAAGCCAGAAGGTACTAAGGGCAGAGCTGAATTAAAAGTAAGGTCTCAGCCACTTGGAATCCCGGAGCCCTCCCCGTTCGGCACCATGCAATAGCTTTCTGGAACTTCATTCATTTCCCCCACCTTCACAGTTCTAACCCTATCCACATATCACCCACACCAAACATGCAGTATTTCTCTATTTAAATGTATTTTTATATTTATATACCATTGCAAATGAAAAGTATCACTTGCCAAAAACAGAGGGTAATAATAAAAATAAATACAACAAAAACTGTACAATGGTATTACCGTCTACTAAAGACATACCAGCTCGACACTGGTTCTACAGAATGGAAACAGCACTGCAAATCTAAGACTGTTCGGCTGACTCCATGAGCTGTGCTGTCTGGTATATGCTCCCAAACACACTGGTCTAAGGGCCCCACCAGGTCATGCTGGGTAAGTAGTGAACAGTGCCCAGGCATTCATGCACAGGTACCAAAGATAAAGGGGTTGGGGGCTGGTGGGAGGTAGCCAGGATGCATCTTCCTTCACTAGCAGTGAACTTGGTTGTAGGGGGATGATGCATGAGCCACTACCATGAGTCAAGGCACATGATCTCTTTTCGAGATGGATGTAGCAGCTCCCATTGGCAGATAATCTGAGGCCCAGAGAGTTAAGTCAATTACTCAAAGCCCCACAGTGCAGCGACTGGTACTGAGGCCTTCCATGTGTGTGTGTGTGTGTGTGTGTGTGTGTGTCATTTAATATCCCGCCTGTGATAAGCTGTGACCAGGGCAGAGTTCAGATGGACACAAAGCCTGCAAGGGTAGAGGACTCGGAAGAGTTTGGCTGCGGCTGGGGAAGAAGAGCCGCCTTCCTCCCAAGGGCCGGGTTTTAGAAGGATGCAGGAGGGAGGGAGATAGAAGGGCGTCAGGGGTCCCGGAGCCCTGCTGAGTGCCCCCTTGACCCTCTCCCTGCAGCAATACTTCATCCTCCTCATCATCACGGACGGTGTCATCAGCGACATGGAAGAGACGCGACACGCTGTGGTGCAGGCTTCCAAGTTACCCATGTCTATCATCATCGTGGGCGTGGGCAACGCCGACTTCGCGGCCATGGAGTTCCTGGACGGGGACAGTCGCACGCTGCGTTCCCACACAGGGGAGGAGGCGGCCCGAGATATCGTGCAGTTTGTGCCCTTTCGTGAGTTCCGCAACGTGAGTATGGACCAGAATGGGCGGGGTCAAGGGGAGGACAGGACGTTCGTGACTGGCGATGGGAAAGACCCCTCCCACCAGCGATGATAGTCGAGGATGGAAGTGTTGGGATGGTGCGGCCCACGCTTCAGCTCTTCTGGCCGTTCTCCTTGAGGCCCTCTGTCCCCAGCGATGGCGTCCAGGGAGACCACTGTGACCATGTGAACACTTGCTTCGACAGGCTGGGGGAACACAGGGCAGAGCCCCGTACAACCTAGGACTGGGGAGGGACTTCCCTGGTGCCTGCCCCCAGTGATAATGAGTTATCCCAGTGGGGAAGGCATTCCAGGCTGGAGGAGGTGGGAGTGCAAAGGCCTACGAGTCTTACTTGGACTCACGTTACAGTCTAAGTCCTCATTTTATGATGGAGACCGAGGTTCCTCTCTCAAAGACAGATGTGTCTCTTTGCAGAGGACCTTTATGAGGGGACTGGTGGCCTCTGCAGGTCGTGGCTCTGCTGTTACCTGACTGATCCAAGTCTATCCACCAGGCGTCTGGGGTTGCTGATCCTTTCGAGGCGTCCTAAAGGACAGCAGTCATTCAGATGCCACCCCTGGACTGCTTGCCTGGGCCTCGCCCTTAAGAGGTGTGATCTTGGGCAAGTGGCTGACCTTTCCGGCCTTGGTTTCCTTCAGCTGTCAGAGTTGCTCAGGGTCTCTGGTGGCTTCCGTGTTGTAGCCTGTAGTGCTCACAGCAGAGCCCAGGACGCTCTGGGTGTGCCTGTGCTGGCCTAACCCCTCCTCTAGAGGATTAGCACCCTAAGGATAAATGCTGGGCACTGGGCACCCCTTCATGCACGGGCTATGTATGCAGCTCCACACCACCACCGTTTATAGCAGGATGAGAGGTCAGGTGCTCAGTACATGTTTGCCAGATGAGTAGGCAGTATAGCTCACCTCCGTTCTTTCCCTGAAAGGCCTCCTACCGACAAACCCATCCTCCAGTGTTTGTCTCCCTGGTTTGTCTGCAAGGCAGACACTGCTAATGGTGATTGAAATGAGGGCTGCTGCTTTTAGACAGCCTGGTCCTCTGCCCTATCTTGTTCTGCAAGGACACCTTCGGTAGCAGTCCTCTGGACATGGTGCCCCTCACAAGTTCTGACCATTAGTACCTTATTCTCTCCCTTCTCCACCCTGTCATCCCTGCAGGCGGCAAAAGAGACCCTGGCCAAAGCTGTGCTGGCGGAGCTGCCCCAACAAGTTGTGCAGTATTTCAAGCGTAAAAACCTACCCCCCAGTAACTCTGAGCTCGCCTGAGCACTAGCTTATGCCCAGCAGCAGCATGTCGCCTGGGCCACCCTCCTTCCTCCCAGAACATGCACGCTCACCCTGCTTCCTTGTGGGTGGCCTTTATTTTTTCCTTTTCTTTACCAACCTACGTTTTTATTTTTTACAATTGGACCTCTACCCCTCAGCTTCCCCCACCTCAGCTGGAGCTTTCTTTATTGGAGTCAACTGAAGATGCTTCCAGGCCAGAGCGGCTTCCTTTTCTTCTCCATGCCTCGCCACTCTTCAAGTATTGAATGTACTTTGTATAACTTTAGTGGAATTATTATTAAAGAGAATAAAATTTTTACTATCCTAGCTGGCTTTTCCAAGTAACTAGCTGCAGACTCCGGAAAGCCGGTGTCCTTGGTGCATACGTCGTGGTTACCCTGCGCCTCATTCCTGCTCTGGTCTTTTATAGCGTGACCATGTTCTACTTGTCATACTCAGGGTAATAAAGGAATTTCCGATGGCCCTGTGTTAGTAGTGACTTCTTCGGGCTTTGCTTGTCTGGGGGAGATTGGGAAATGAAAGGAAGAATGACAACTCCTTACACCTCCAGCCAGCCTGTAAGGTGGATGTCATCACTTCTGTTTGGGGGACATGCATTCCAATCACAGTAAAAGTTGCCCAGAACACAAGTATCTGTCCCACTGGAACACAACATTTATGGGGCTCCACACCAGAGTCTCTGGAGACCCTACAAGTTGACCCCAGCAAGAACAGACACATGGTCCCTTCTTTGTCCACCATCTGTCCTATGCCATTCCAAAGGACAGCATTTGTTGCCACCATTTGTACCAACAGGCCTCACAGGCCTTGGGGCATTGTCTGTGGTGGTCTTGGGATGCTAGACAGCACTGTTTTGGCCCTATATCCCTGAGTTCCTGCTGATAGCAACCCATTGGTTTCTCATGCATCTCCCACTCCAGATATAGGCCCAACATCATGAAGCCAACCAGAGGGCCAATCTGAAATCAGCAACCATCTGGGTTACCTCCTTCTACATACCATCTCCTTTCCTCCTTTCTCTCACCCATCTTCCCCTTGGAGTTCCAGTCAACCCATTCGGCTTACGTGTGGCCAGTAACAACATTTCGATGAAGAACTCTTTCTGCCATTGCAGTAGAGTGCTTTAAATACATCATTTTTTCTTTTTTTTTTAAAAAAAAACATACATTATCTTGATGAGCCCGCCCGTGTTAAGTACCTATTTCTGACCATTCAGGATGAGAAAATGAGCACAGAGAAGCAATCAAGTTATGGGGCAGAGCAGAACTCATCCAGATCTGGCTGACTACAGGGCCCACACTTGGTCATATGCATCCCTTGGTCTTGCTCAAGCTGCTGATGGATTTGCCACACCTTTCCGCTGGATCTCTGGAGTGCTGGCGTGGCGCTGAAGGATAAGCACTAGACAGCCAGGTCAATTTGAACTGCAAGGTGGCAGATCGAACCCTCCAGCCGCTCCTTGGAAACCCTATACAGGGTCACTGAGCTGGAACTGACTTGATGGCATGTAACATTAAACATAACACATTCCACCAGAACTAGGGAGCCAATCGTCCTGACCTCTCCCAGGGCAGTAATTTCTACTATTAGTAGGTCCTACCTCCAGGTTTATTAGCCAATGCTTATCTGGTGGGAGGGTCAAAGTAAGGGATCTTTTCATCCTAAGCTTCTTCCATGCCTCTGCTGATTCTGAGGCCAAGAGTCCATAGACATATCCTTTAGAGCCACCTTCCTTTCTGAGGATACAGGATGGTTTGATTTGTGGAGGGTCTTACAGAAAAGCATAGCGCATGGGCCTAGAGACCAGCCTTGCATCATGGGTGGATCCCAAGACCCACACATCTGTCTCATTTGCTTCATGCCAATCAATCCCTTACTCTGGCCAGCTGCAAGACTGGACACTTGTCAAACCGTTAACACAAGACCTTCACAATCTGTAGTTCAAATGAATCTAGCTGAGGGTCACAGTCAAGCATTTCTGTACCTAGCCCAGCCCTGTCTGTCTACATTCCCTTAGCCCTCAAGGGACTAAAAGGCTCACTGGGGTGACCACTTTGCATGCCAGCCTCACTACTGCTCTCTTGTCACTCCCTATGGGAGTCATGTTCTAGACTGATGAAGCCGGGGAGACTGACAACTACTGCGCTGTGTTCAGGCAAGGTCCCTGGTTTCGTACTCTTGTGGACAACCTACTTCATGGGTGGAGGCCTTGGCCCCAATGCCAGGCTTCATTCACCAGATGGCTGGTGAGCAGACCTAGCCATCTGTTTTCTGTTCCCTCTTTTCTGCCTCAGGTTGGATGGGCCCGTTGTTGGCTCTTTATTCCCAGCTGGCTGTATTCACAGGGGAAATGAGGGTGCACCTCAGGACCAATCCGCCTTTACTAGGGGGCTCTCTACTGCAAAGGAAAGCTGGTACGTGGCCATCCTTATGGCTGTTCTCATTAGCAACCCCGTAACTCCTGGAAAAGCCAAATTGCCACTTGAAAAACGAAAAACCACATCTGGGATATGTTTGGCATTGCTTCTTTGTTCTTGTGCAAGGATAATAGGCTGAAGAATGAACTGGGAAAAAGGACTAGAAAGACTCCTTCACCCTTGAAGCCTGCGCTGAGGCCTGGGGCACAGGTATCTGAGTTTCATTGGCACCACAGAAAACCAGGGATTGTATTAAAGGCTCAAATTCAAATTCTGGTTCTGTCACTTGGCTTGTACAACTGCAGGCAAGTCACCGAGCCACTAAGAATCTCGGTTTCCTCTATACGGTGTAGAAAAGGGCTGCTTCCCAGGACACCCTTCAGAAGTAAACGCACACAAGTCCATGCTAATCCTAAACAAATGCCCCAAACAGTGCTGGTACTCACAGAGCATGCCTTCAGTATATACTGAATGAATGAAACCAATTCATGTCAGGGAGACAGTTCGGGCACGAAGGCTGTCTCCCTGGGTTTTTCTGCCTCTCTCGTCTGCAAAGCTCCATGCTGGAGTCACATTCTGCCTGTGGTGGCTGTGAATTCTAACCGGAGCTCCAGCAGGTAAGGGAGCAGAGGGCCAGGCCTAGCAGTCACCAAGGCAAGAATGTGCGACTGACTGCTTGTGTTCAACCTGTGACTATAAAAGTGCTGCCAAGATTCAAGCCTCCCACTAAGCAGAACTTGCATTCCACGCTCTGATGCATAAGTGGGCTGGGCAAATCAAGAAAATACCCAAGTCTGAATGAGTGTTCATGGCCACTAAGCTCTCCTTTGTTTTTCTGGAGGGGCTTAAGACAACAGCTGAGCCACATACCCACAGCTAGGGCACCCGAGCCAAGGAACGGGGTGTGCCTAACCAATTAACATTTAGCTAAGCGGAAAGCATACAGCAGAAGCTGGTGTCTGGAGCTTAACAACCAAATCTGACCCATCATCATATCTGTGTTCTAGCTGCAAGTGAGGAATGCCAGTAAGATTCCAGAAACCACCAGGTCTAACAGAAGCTGTGGACAACCCCCTCCCCCCCAAAGCAGGGTGAGAACACATGCTTACTAATGAGTCTGGTTACCATTTACTAAGCTACTATCTACTGCCAAATACCACACCAAGTACCTATAATCTAGATGGTTTTATACCTCTCCAGGAAGAACTCATGCCTGTTTCCAGCGTGGTTAAGTGACACGCTCAAATGACACCGCGAGTAGACATTTGGTTCCAGGTTTATAACCACTCTGGTAGATCCATGGTGTGGTGCTACAGGAGAAGTACTGGTACTGCTAACCACAGGTTGACAGTTCAAACCCACCAGCAGCTCCTTGGAAACCCTATACAGGGTCGCTATGAGTTGGAACCAACTAGACGACGCAGTCACAACAAATGGTAGGTAAAAGTGGGCTGAGCTCCTGGGGGAGGAGAAGCTGAAGCAGTGGGAAGGTCTTAGGAAACAATTGTTCTTAGGTGGGAAAGAGGTAGCAAGAAGGCAGCAAGAAATTCTTAAGAGCTGGAGAGTTAAATAAATGTAGGAACAGCTTGTTAGGGGATCCTGACTCTGTCTAGAATGTTCCAGAAAAGTTGAAGCTAGGGAGTCAGCTTCCTTCCTTTTTGGTCTTGGAGTCCCGGGAAGATACACCTTACCAGTCAGTCAGTCACCGCTTGGGTCCAGTCACATCAATCTCTCTGCTTTTAACAGATTAAAAAGAAATGCTTTGAAGGTCATGCTCCCTTTCTCTCGACACCAGCAGGTAACAGGGCCAAAGGGAGATAACTGGCAGGCAGTGGATTGAAGTCATAGGGGACACAAGCACCCCCCTAAGCAGAGTTGACAATTGGCATCTCTAAACTTGAAGCCAAAAATCTCTAGTATGGTTCAGGAGTTATGGGAGTACTTTCGCAGCTCCATGATTTCCAAGGCTGCTTCGTTTCTTGGTCAGAACAGATACTGCTTTGCCATTAATGGTTTCTACAGAAACATGGCCTCCATTCCAGGGCTCTAGAGAACTCTGAAATGATTAGCAGTGACACCAAGAACACAAGTCTCAGTTCTGAAGAACCTCGACTTCTCCACAACCTAGATGTTTTGTTTAGTAGATGGAGAGAACTGGGAGTACAAGCAAGATTCAGCATAGGGAAAGCAAGATCTTATTCTCCCACAAGTTTATTAGCTTTCAAGTTAATGTGTGTTTTTAATCCCTGCAGCATCAGCGGGGGCCATGAGCTACAGTAATGGCCTCTTAAAAGTTCAACCACATAAAGATGGTGACTTTGATTACTCGTTATGCCTCCTGAAATGATCAGAGGCTGCTATGGCACGTGCTGCAATAATGATAGCACAATCGCAGGAACAATGAGGTGGAGAAGCACAAGGCGCCTACACAGTTTTACCTAAAAGTCTTGTTTGTTAGGCTGCAGCTGACACGCCTGTACTGACAGTCAGGAACAATTAGCACAGAATAATTCTGAAAAAATAGGAAGAATTCACAAGGCATCAGTTATGGGCGAAGGGAAGTCACCATCTGCCAGCGGGCACCAGAGTGTCACTGCAGTGGAAGGGGAAAAGGAACAGGTTGGATGAGATCCAGGGCCCTCGCTGCCCACGTTAAAACTGAGGAGCGTCTCTGCCTGCTAGCATCACAGTGTCAACACATTCTGTGTGTGTCTCTCAGTCTCACACCCAAGAAGTAGAAACAACTGACTAAAAACCTGGGGAAGAAAAGAAGGACACAGGTTCATCTTCCTGAAGGAGGGGGAGTCTCCAGATTTGTTTAAAGTCTACTTCCTCCCTCTGTCCTAGAGCCCTCCAGGCCATCTCACTCCCTAGCTCTCCCTTGCATCCCGCTGGACTAGACAAAGAGATGGAACAGTACCTCTAGATCTTAGAAACTCACAAGGGAAAGGGAAGAGAGCAGCAGAGGCAGCAGATCGGAGTGAGGAAAGCCTAAGGCAGTGTAGTGTGTTTATAGACTAGAAATAGCTCCAACTATTATGTGCACCAAACAGAGACGGGCCTCAACAGAGTAAGGGGTACAGTCCGAATATATAGGAGTCTCCTACTGGTTTACGATACTAGGATTCCATAAATAAATAGGTCATCTTGGCAATATATCCTCTATTTCTGACTTCTGGCCATGACTAAATAAGGCCTATATTTTTTCTTCTACAATTTAGTCTTAAAGAAATCCTTTATTTAAAAAAACAAAACAAAACAATTTTCCAGGCAGAGGGAAAGTCTGAGTAGAAGATGGAGTCTGTCTTGTTACCAGTTTTTCTCAATCGTCACATCAAAAGGATCCAATGGGAGGAGCTGGAGACGGAGATGGCCAAGAGTGAAGAAAAACGTCACAATGAAGGATGATACCCTCTGAAGAGCAGATGAAGTTCATCATCTTTACTTAGTCACACATCAATAATTGGTTAGTTCCCAGAGTGCTCCATTTCATTACCAGGGTCAGTTCTTGTCCCCTGCATGCTCCACAAATGCCAATGTAACCAAACAGTGTGGTCATTAGTAATAAAGTGTTTCAATAATACCTTTCCAATAATTCCTCTTGCTTTTGTTGTTCTGTTGGAAAAGGAAAAAAGAAAACAAGAAAGCAATAAAATCCAAACCCTCAGCAAGGCAGCAGGTGCCTTTGCTTCCAGGGTGTTTTCAGTGGCATTCTGCTAGGCCCTGCCCCTCATCCTGCTCTCTCAATGGAGGAAGAAAGAGGCATTGGGGCAGATGGCCCATCTGCACAGGAATGGAAAGAGAAACCAAACACAAATCTGGGCCTCAAGTGGATTCTGGAACATTTTTAGATTAAGTCATGGTATGCACAAAAGCAGGCAAACATTTGTTGAGGAAGATAACGCCTGTAGGCAAAATAAACCGTCCAATCTACTCATGGGGAGGAAAGAAGCCCTAGGGGGCCTCGAGGAAGGTGTTGGTTCGGAAGATGGAGGAGACGATCTTCCCCGTGGCGTTGATGGTGCCTTCGCTGTCTGAGCTGGACTCTGAGTCACTGCTCCCAGAGTAGGCACCCAAGCCCGGGAGGATGCCAATACAGACGGCAGCAGAGGGGCAGTGGATGGAGGGCCCACTCAGGGAAGTGCTTCCAAGAGACACACAGGATGCGGCCTCTGTAAAAAAGGAGGCATGACTTTTATATTGTTGTCTTTTCAAAGTGTATTTACTGGATGCCAAGCCCTGTGCTAATGCCATTACTCACAGAAACCCATGGAAGTCTCACAATAACCCTCTACAATCAATGCTAATGCCGTTCTCACTTTACAGACTGGGGGAATTCAGGATCTGGGAGGTAAGATTAACTGCTCAAGGTAAAGAGGCAAAGCCGGGACTCTACTACACTTTCTTGCACTTCATCAGTTCCAAGGACAAACTACCTGGGAGTGTAGTCTATCACAATTTGATTTCCCTGTGCTCAAACAGTAATGGTATTAAAGGGGAACTCATTACCTAACACCATTTCTTACCCAATCCCAGCGCAGTAAACAGATATGGGGAGTTAAAAGGGCTTCCACATGGTCTTAGCAGCAGGAACAAAGTCATATTAAGAAAGACATTGTGAGCAATATGAACTATCCTTTTGTATTCAATTCTCAATCCATTACACCATTCCAGATTTATGGACCAACATGTTAGCTAGCAAAGATACATTTTCAAGGTCAAACATCAACCACAGAAGTAACATCTTTTAATAAGAAAAGCCTCTTCCCCATATGAGGGAGGTGAGAATTTAGAACCCAATTTAACACAAAAAGCTTGACCACCTTCCTCTCTGACAACTGAGGATGCTCAGGCCAGTGAGATAACATGTTAAGACCATGCAGAATGTAACTCTGTAACTGGGAGTCTTTCCTTCCCACAGTTACTCAGCCATCCCAATGGAAGAAAGCCTTGTTCTAGAAAATACAGAACTTAAAAAATGAGGGACCAATTAAGAGATATACTCACCCCTTCTTTCTTCTATAAGATTCCAGCCTCCTTTAATCATTACCACAACCTAATATGGTAAGTAAGGAGCTTTGGTAGCATAGTGGTTACGAATCGGGCTGTGAACCACAAGGTCAGCAGTTCGAAACTACCAGCTGTTCCACGGGAGAAAGATGAGGCTTTCTGCTCCCGTAAAAATTTACAGCCTTGGAAACCCTGTACAGGGTTGCTAAAGAGTCAGAACCGACTCCCCGGCACATAACCACCAACCAATATGGTAAGTATTCTACTGAGGAAGCAGACCCAATAATTTTAGCTAAGCTTACAGGTCACTTACGCAGAAAATGTTCGCTAACCCTGAATTAAGAGATACTGTACTGCAGTGACACCAGAGATGGAGGCAGAGATGATGACATGGAGAGACAGAGCAGCTGAGGACTGTAGCAGGGATAGAGAAAGGCTGTGTGCTGGTGGCCAGAAGGCTGGCTTGCAGAGTGTGCCCTTTGGTTGTTGAAATGATTATATATTCCTGAGTGTTTTTGTGTACACCCCTACCCCACCCCACCCCCCAAAAAGTAAATATTCCAACTTTGTAAATTGAAATCCTCTGTGAAAACTCTAGAATGTTATTACCTTAAGTATAACTAAAAAAAAAAAAAAAAAGATAATGTACTAAAACAATACTTGAGCTTGCAGCAAGGGAACTGTTGGATTGCCTTAGATTCACTAACTCCTCACTTATCCAAACACAACTAAATGTGAAAAGAATATACAAATATATGAAATAAAGAGTAAGCAAAGGTGCTCGCTCTGCCAATACATCTAGTAAAATTGGAATGATACAGAGAAGATTAGCATGGCCCCTGTGCAAGGATAACACACACATATGTGAAATGGTCCATGTTTTTATGTAAAATTGATGGTCTGCTCTGTAAATCTTCACTCAATTCGCAATTACAAAAAACAAGTAAGTGAAAAAGACCACAAGGAGACAAAAGAGATATTCAAAAGCCAGTACCCAGTTTCTACGGGCTCAGTGTATATGCTTGCCTTTTTAGAATTCAAATAAGGGAGAAAGAAGCTGCCAAAGATAAGCAACAGTAAAACAGGGAGACACAGAAAAATGAAAGCAGAGGCAAATATTTGCAATGAATACCACAAAAGCTAATTCATCAGGATACATAGAGATCTTCCAAATCTGTTTAAAAGGAAAAAAATAATTGAACAGAAAAATGGACAGAAGACATCACAGTTCATAGAAAAAAAAAATACAGGAGAAAAAACTTAACACATAAAGAGGGACCGTTGTGTCACGGAGGGGATAGAGGGCAAATTGCCAATGTTCTTCAAACTTTTCAGCGATGCTCATATGAGAATATTGTATCACTGTAGCTTTGTTTACAGCTGCTCTGAAAAGACTGGGAATAACCTAAATGTCTATCAATTCAAGACTGGTTAAATCATGGACAACTAACTGGCAAGAGGCAAAATAGTGTGTCTAAGGTATAATTGTGGGTAGAGAAAAATGTTTATGTCTCTGCATACAACATCTGAAAATATAAAACAAGCGGTTACCTCAGGGGAAATGAACTGAGTAGTGAAGGGAAAAGGAGACTGACTTTTCACTCCACACTCTTCTGTCCATTTTGAATTTTCTAGTACTTGTATCTACTACCTATCCAGACGATTTAAAAACAAAAAAGGACAAAATTCAAAATTCCAAAAGCATCCAGGACCACTTAAATTAGGGAGGACACCCCCATATAGTTCTACTGTTCCAAGGGCATCCCCTTAAGGCTAAGAGGTGGCAGAAGACTTGGCAATCGGGAGAGAGGTTCCTTTTCTGTACTCACTAAGTGCAAGTCCCTTTGCAGCAAAGGCCCCTTCTTCTTCACTACTCCATCCTCGGCACAAGTAGCCATAGGGCCTGGCATGCAGAAGGCCACAATTTTCAATGTGTGCAATACAGGAAAATGTGTCAAAGACACTTTATGGAGAGTTTCACTCTAAAGAGGCAATTTTAATGAGTGAAGTTTGATGCTTTTAAAACATGGAGGTATTAACATTAAACTGTATACCATTCCTTATTTGAACATTCATGGTATTTTTAAGTGATACTTGCAGTATTAGAAAAGGATTGTATAAAAAAAACTGAAAGCTTAGAAGGGTATGCATCAATAACAAAAACATTAATTAATGTGAAGCTGTTCAACAAGACATGTCACTTTATCAAGTACGTCAAGGATGAATGTTAGGATCTAAGGTAGAAAAGAAGCTTGAGGTCCAGGTACCTACGGAAGCCCAGAGAAGGGAGAGAAGCCAGCCACAAAAATGTACCCAAGGAATCTGGATCACTGTGGCACCAGAGCCTCTAAAGACCAAAGCTCCCAATTAGTTAGGAAGTTTCAAGAAAGAAGAGACTGCAATTCTGACAAATTTCATTCCAAAAGCAGTTAACTGTCCAAAGAGAACAAAATGGTGCCCTCTGATCTCACTCACTTGGCAAAGTTTCCTGCCAATTTCTGCATTTGCAGGACCACATTGCCATACCAAATTAACACTGAAAATTACTAATAAGGGAGAGGGTTCATAGATTCAGACAGTTGCGTGACTTGGGAGTAGATGGGACCCATGTGTGCTCAGAGCTTTCAGTGGGAGTGGTGGAATCCCCACCAGAGCCACAAAATTATCTTCTGGGGAACCAAGGAGATATTCTACTGCTGAGGGCAAGATTCTGATGAAAGCTTCAGGGGGCATTATTCCTATAGGACCTTAGCTCCTGGCAAAAGAAGTTATTTTTTGCTCAGCTTCTTGCTGAGTTAGTTTAGAGAAGTCAGACCAGTTTTTCTTTCCATTGATACATTCAACAGTTCCGAAGAGGGAAGTATCAGTCAGAGGACTCGTAACTGAATTACCTAATTTCTTGTTGTGAAGTGCGGCTGAGTTGGTTCTACCTTTAATACACACACACACACACACACACACACTGCTGTTGTTAAGTTCTACTGAGTCGTTTCCAACTCATAACCAGCTCATGTACAAGAGAAGGTAACACCGCCTGATCTTGTGCCATCCTCATAGTCGCCGTTCTATTTGAGCCTATTGTTACAGCCACTGTGTCAACCTAGCTCACTGAAGGTGTTATATATTTGTACCAAGGATAATAATGGAACACTGTTGGTGTTAAGTGCTGTTGAGTGGGTTCCAACTCAGAGTGGCCCTGTATAGGGTTTCCGAGTAGCAACTGGTGGGTTTGAACCGTCGACCTTGTGGTTAGCAATCTGGTGCTGTTATTACAGAGCCACACGAAGATTCCAATGGAATACCACACAGCCTTAAAAAGGAATAAGGAAACTTTTTATGTACAGATGTGCAATGACTTGTCAGGCATAATACTAAGTGGAGTAAACAGTGAACAGAAAAGGATGTTAGTTAAAAATCAGGATGATGATAGGGAGTAAAAGTTACCTATGAAGTATTCTTGCCAAAAAACTCAACTTGAATTGATCAGCTTTCGAGATCTAATGATAATTTTACAGGAAACACAGGATACAGAGCAACAACACAAAGATGCAATTAGCAAAATCAAGTGTGGGAAACTACACAGGACAAAGATGCAACTTCTTCACAAATAAAACATAAAGGAAACAAATGAAAAAAGGTAGGGAAGGAATCTACAGGTTAAATGAGACATAAAAGATACATTAGCCTACTACTAAGATGGCAATATTCCCCAAACGGACCTACACAATCCCTATCAAAATCCCAGTAGTCCTTTTTTTTTCAGAAATTGATAAAATGATTCTAAAATTCATATGGAAAAACAAGAGATCCAAGATAGTCAAAACAATATTGAAAAAGAACAAAGTTAGAAGAATTACATTTTGTGATTTGAAAACTTAACTACACAGCTACAATCATCAACACTGTGTGGTACTGGCATGAGAATGAGCTTTACAAAGGGAATAGAACTGGGGTTCAGAAACCAACCCTCTATTTGACAATACGCTACAATTACTTTAAGAGATTAGGTGTGATAGTGCATTGCAATTATTACTATTATGCTTTTTAAATTATTTTTTACTGATACATACTAAAAAATTAAGGATCAAACAAACAATTTGATGTTGATGGCTGGGATTTGCCTCAAAAAATTCTTGGAAATCCTATACAAGATCACTAAGAGTTGAAATTAACTAAAGGACACACAACAATATTATTATTAATAATAATGACTGAGAGAAAAAGAAATCTAAGTTTTATAGATGACCCATTGAGTTTAGTTTTGCCTCAACTTTCAGGAAGTCAGGGGTGAAAATGAAAACCAACTCTTGAATCTCTCATCCTGATCCAGTCCTCAGGAACACTCATCTTTACTTACAACTCTGTGCCACTTAATACAGAGGCAGATTTTACTGCATAAAAGGAGCCAGTGAAGAAACGTGTACTTCTGATGACTGTATTAAGTCTCTAAGTTCAATTCAATCCAATCACCTACAGAAGCCAAGTATTCTAGCTCCTGATGGTGGCAAGCCAAGTGAAATCAAGAGACTTAACATTTGGGGAAAGTAGAAAAAAAGCCCTTTGTGAGCAGAGGTGATATGACCAGGGTTTTGTGAGCACTCCTGGGAGAGCACAATTGTCATTTATCAGCTCTGCCATCCACCAGTTTCTAACATATTATGTTGCAGGAAAGTGGACATGCAGGGTATTAATCTTGGCTGGTGAATAAAAAGTTTGGTAAATTACATTTAGGTAGGCTTGCTTGAAGAGAGATGAATGAATTTATTCACAGATGTATTGTATTCAAGCCCTTTTACTCTGGCTCGCGTGTGCTGTAACAGAAGAAATGAAGGCTGCCACCCACCTTGATTCTTGTCATCTGGGTCCGGGTCAGGTTTCAGTCTTTTCACACTATTGCCACTCTCTGAGCTGTAACCAAAAAAACAAACCATTGTGATCTGAGCCATGTGCAATCTTGGGGATCAAAGTGTATAGAATTAGAGAGCTAATAACCATCTAGATGGGTCTTGAACAGCCTCAGGGAGCTGGGATGGAGGTAGAGGGGAAGTCTTCATTTCAAAGTTCTTAACAGTCTTTTAATCATATCATTCACTAGGCACTTGCTGTAGGATAAACAGTGGACCACAGGTCAGTCTGAACTACAAGGCTGGCGGTTCAAACTCACCAGCTGCTCCTCGGAAACCCTACATAGGGTCAGAACAGACTCTCTGGCACTCAGCAACAACACATTTTGTACTGTTTTCCTTATTTAACTTGGAAGGAGCCCTGGTGGTACAACAGTTAAAGTGCTTGGCTGTTCCAACCCACAGAGCACTGTGTGCGTGTCTGCTTCCACACAGATTATAGTTTCAGAAACGCTATAGGGTGGCTCTATTATGATCGCTATGTTGTGTTTAGATCTTAAGTTGAGTAGCTGTAGGTTTTGGGGTGCTTGTTTTATTCTCCTCCATAACATACAAGCCCAGTGGCTTCAAGACTTACACCAGGCATCAGGATCACCCATGGAACTTTAAAAATTAGACTCCCAGCTCTTACTCTAAACTTAGTAAATTCAGAGTGTGAGGCCTGGGAATTCAGGTTAGTAACAAACTCCCAGGTAGTTCAAATAAACCCAGGGCCAGGTAGATTATGAACTCATGCCCCAGACAATTTATCACCTGTTATTATTGCTGTTAAGTGCCATTAAGTCAATTCTGATTCATAGTGACCCTGTATACGGTTTCCAAGGAGCAGCTGGTGAGTTTGAACCACTGATCTTGCAGCTCAAACTGACCTTGCAGTCCAGTGCATTATCTTGCAGAGCCACATCAGGACTCCAGTTTACCACCTGGTTATACAAAAACTCACTGCCACCAAGTTGTTTCCAACTCATAGTGACCCATAAGGTTTCTGAGACTATAAATCTTGTGAAAGCAGACAGGCAGCTTCATCCTTTTCTTGCAGAGCAGCTGGGAGACTTGAACCACCAACCTATCAGTTAGTAGCCCAATGTTTAATCCGCTGTGCCACCATACATGCTTCAAAACCCCAAAAACGGGTTATACAAAGGAACGTCTAAAAGCTTAAGGAAAAATGGAATAAAAATGACGTTTTCTACAAACTTATTCAAGTCCCCTCATATACCGTTCACTACATATGCCTTAGTAACATACAGCTAACAACGAGCTCTTTCTATCGCTAACAGTTCCAACACCTCCTCTGCTCCCAGCAAGAGCACAACTGGGAGAAGACTGACCACCCACCTTTGAGGGGCTCTTCCCTGGTACAGTCCAGTAAAAGTGGCCCAGGGCTGAATGCGATAAGATGCATGAAAACTTATGGAAGAAGTTGAAAAGAAGAACCCATAGCTTAGGTAACTGGCCTTTTTCAGGCTACTGATAGTCCTCCCCTCCGCTGTCGTCCCATAACGACATTTTTCCATGTAGGTACTATTCCTAGGAACATCTGCAGTGATGAATGTGGTGCCAAACCACAAGATCTCACCAATATACTCCCTTCAAAACATGTGGCACGTTGCCAATGTATGATATTGATTTTCCTAACAGAGTGCACTTAAACTATCAGTTCACCCATGGTCTGGTTGATCACACTGGAATGATAAAATTCAATAACTTTGGTGCCATTTTGGGATTTTAAAAGGGAGGGACAAATATAACAAAAAACGTATCAAAACCTCTCAGCAGTCTTGCCCCCACCCCACTCAGCCTGAGCCACATCTAGGGCTGCGATAGGTCACAGCTGCTAAATTCTTCATGACACAATGTTTCTATAGCAGCTGCTCCCCTCTCTGCATGTTCTTCTCTCCCTTGTCTTCTTCTCAAAGCCCTTGTGGGCCTACCTGCTTGACATCTCCATTCTAATGCTTCTTGTAACTTCCCCAAGTTAGGAAACAAGCCCCCGTCTAGGAGTGAGGTGTTTCTTCCTCCTTGCGCTCTCTAAATCCTGTACACACTCTTGGACAGAAATAGATTCTTAAATATCAAACTCCAAATCTCCTGTTACTGTGTAATCCTCAGATTCCTCATCAGTAAAACAGGGATAATAAAAATTTGTACTTCATAGAATCATTCTGAGGCATACATAGCACCGAAAACAATGCCTGACATATGGTGAGTATCTAATGGAGAATACTCATGATTCTATTTGTTCAATGAATGGTCAGAGAGACAAAAGGTCAAAGGCTACAGAAGACATCAAATCTGGAAGGGGCAAAGAGAAGTCAGGCCTCCAGAAGCCAGCAAAATGTCTGCTAGGTAGCTTGTCCTCCGTCTACCATTACAAGTGGCACCGCAGAACAAGAGGTCAGAAGGAGATTGAAATTGTGTGAGGGCTGGCTGACCTCTTATGCTTCACAGCTCCTGCCAACAGCTTTGCCTGGGAGAATTTGCTCTTGGTTTCTACTGGTTTCACAGCCAACTTCTTCTCCACTTCTTTCTTGTTTTCTGGAGAAATTCCAACCTTATTGAGATTACTGTGAGTTGCAAGTTAAGGATCAAACCAAGTAAAAGGAGAACACTACTGTAAGACAATGGGAAATCAACAGAAGGAAGACAAATATAACCAATGACACCATGTAATATTTAGCTTAATCTACACGTCCCACCCTTCAACCCCCCCAAGCCCAAGGTAAAATCAGAGTCTGTGACAGTCCTTGTTGTTGTTGTCAGGTGCCATCGAGTCGGAACCAACTCATAGCGACCCCATGCACAGCAGAACGAAACAATGTCCGATCCTGGGCCAACCTCACTACCGCTGCCACACTTGAGTCCATCAATGATGCCACCTGGCTGATCCATCTCGTTGGGGGTCTTCCTCTTTTTCTCTGACCCTCCACCCTACCCAGCATGACATCCTTTTCCAACGATTGTTTCCTCCGGACAATATGTCCAAAGTAGGAGAGACTAACTTCTATTCTGCTGGTGTAAGGTAACTTCAGCATCAACTCAAGCATTATTAAAAATGGAAATGCCCTCCCCTGCCTCAGAATCACAAGGGCAGTGGTTCAAACTCACCAGCTGCTCCTTGGAAACCCTATGCAGGGTCACTATGGGTTGGAACCAACTATACAGCACTTAACAACAAAAGAGACCCAAGAATTGATGTTTTTTTTACACTCACTCAAGATGACTTTAAGGAGGAACCTTATGCACATACAACACAACAGAAGAGCAAAAATCTGTTTTTCAAAGCTGCAATAAACGTGTGGCACCAGCCACTCCTCCCACAACCTGCTCTGCTCCGCTGGGTTCAGTAATTCATTGCAATGACTACACAGAACTCAGACAATACTCAGAGTCCTAGGGTTTAATTAGGAAAGTTAACAGGTTACAACTGGGCTCCAAACTGCTCAAGGCTCAGCTGTCTCAGTCAGCTGCTGATAAATGCCCATAGGACCCACAACTGCACCACAGGAAGCACTTGGCTCTAGCTCCTTGGGTCAGTAAATCTAGCTTTCTCACTTAAGTGCCTGAAAGTACCCCACTCTACAAGCAAGCTTCCTGCCCAAAGTCACTCAGCTTTATTTGCTCCATGAGCTGGGAAGCCCACTGCTCTGTCTCGTGCTCTGGTACTTGGTTCTGCTATTGCTATTCCTCAGCTGCTCCTCTTGTGTTACAGCTTTCCATTCCTGAGTTGAGGAGATTCGATGCACAGGGATCTCAGAATCCAAAGGACGTGCTCCCCTCCTGGCTCTTCTTAAGACGGTAGTCAGATGGCCACTCCTCCTCCTAAGACAGCTAATTTTAAACCCATACTAGAGTTTCCAGTTTTTACAATTACATCTGGTAACACCCACAGCTGAATCATGCCATCCTATCAGTATATCTTCTCCCACCTTCTCTTACCCAGCAGGGCAGAACTGTTGTTTGGAGGCAGTTACAGACTATGGCCAAAAGAGACACTAGATCATTCACTACACCACAAAGCACAACCAGTTCACTTGTAAAGTAACTATTTTATGCTTGATGTCAATCTCTTTGGTTCTCAAGGTCTCTTTCTTTCTTTTGTTTGTTCCCTCCACCAGCCCCCTTCCTTATCTCATATTCATGCTCTTTCACAATCTGTTGTTGTGGTTGTTAAGTGCTGGCCAATCGAGTCAGTTCTGACTCATAACAACCTTGTATAGGGTTCCTGAGGCTTTAAATCTTTCAGGGAGCAGAAAGCCTCATTTTTCTCCCACAGAACAGCTGGTGGGTTCGAACCGCGGACTTTGTGGTTTGTAGTCCCGTGTCTATCTCATGGAGACACCACGCTTCTCACAACCTATTAGGCAATAGAAAAGTATTTTGATACAATGCAATTCCTTATTTAAGAAGTAGAAGTCCTGGTGTAGCACAGCAGGATAAGCACTGAATTAATAACCGCAAGGTAGGTGGTTCAAATTCAATAGCCACTCCTCAGAAACCCTACAGAGGGTTTCTATGAGTCGGAGCCAACTCTTTGGCACTTAGCAACAACAGTCCTTCATCAATCAGTACAATAGTGACATCTAGTGCCCAAGAAATCTAAGAAGCATGTATTAATAGTTCAGAGAGGTGTCTCTGAGCAACAGATAAAACTGGGGACCAGCCTGGGAACCAGAAGTAAAGCAACTCTAATTCTGCTCACTCTTCTGGACCTAACTTTGTTCTTATGAGCATTAGTTACTGTACATATTTGTGGTATTCAAAGAGGATTATAACACTCAGAGCTATTGTGAAGTTCATCAAGTTAATGTTTTCAACGTCGCCATGGAAACCTCAAATAGGTTCACTATACGGTGCCACAGAACTGACTCGAAGGTATTTAACAACATTATTGAATCAAACTGGCATAAAGACTTCATACTTCTATTAGTGTAAAAAAATTAGCATGCTGTGATTTCTCTCATTAAATTTTGAAAAATAAAACACAACTAGAAAGAATTACATTAAAAACAAAAGCACTCCTGTCAACCCGGGTTGAGACCTGGTTGGCCAGCTGTATGGCAAGACCTGGGGACTCCTGGACCCAGAGACACTGACATGGCCACAGAGGACTAGAGCAGAGAGTGAAGCATCCAGTGGATATGAAGTGAGGGGAGATGCACAAGAACACCCATACTTGCAGAGAGTACCCA